TCGCCTGAAATTAAAGCATCATCTTTTATTTTGAACCAAAGCGAAAGGTAAGTAACTTTTTGATCTGAAATGACGGGCACAGGTGAAATAACTTTCTGGAGATTTTTTGTGTTGGTGTCATTATTATACAAATATGTTAATTTTAGAGCAAAAATCTAATAATGGAACATACATTATAAATTTGTCCTTTTGTATTATAAGAGATTTTGAAAATAAATTGATTTCTTTTTTTTACTGTCAACATTTTTAATTGTATGCCAGAGCATGGAGAAGAGTTGCCAGAGACAGCGGCGAATGGAAGATTGATCTGAAGAAGGCTTTCGCTCATGACTAGCTGTAATGCCACTGATGATGATTTTTAATTGTATAAATGCGTTATCTAATTTACATTACATACGATTACATCGAATTAAAGAAACATTTAACTCAGTGACTAAAAAATGTTCAGAATAGCCTTAGTTAATAACATAAAAACTGAAGCAATATCAAATCAAAATAAGTGTCCTCAATATTTTCATAAGCAACATTTAAGTCTGAAAGACGCCCAGAAAGTAAAAATGACTAAAAATAATTCCATGACAATTTAAAAGCAATAAGTAGTGCCTACCTACTAAGTGAAACAAGGAATACTAAAAATAAGGAAGAACGACGAAATAATACACCAATATAGAAGAACTATTACCAATAATGGATTTAAATAAGAGAATCGAATGATAAAAAACAAAAAATGCTAATGTAGTGAAGTGTAATAAATAAATTTTTAAATATAGGCAACCAATAATACATCAAAAGGTAAGTAAACTGCAACGCCGTAAAATATTTAGTTATTATATTATTTATCTATGATTTAGTTCGCCTATAAACATCGAGTTAGATTCTAACTCGATGCCTATAAACCATAGTTTATAGTCGGTTTACACAGCCTTCTAATTATAGCATACTGCATACTTAAACTTTGGTTATACACATCCTTTCAGAAACATTTCTATAAAAATCTAAGGAATGACACACTAAAATCAACTTGGGGCACTTTTATATTAAAATATTGAATTTCATTCGTACGGCGCTGTCGGTTTCTAGCTAAAGGTCGATTCAGACACATCAGTCCCGACGCCGAACGGGTCCTGTTTGGTCACAGAACTATCAACTATCTGACAAACTGTCCGTCGCCTGGTGAATGTGAATGCCGGCGCCATATTTCTATTAAAGAATATTTTGTATGACGGATTGTTCGGTTCGGCGCCAGGACTGTGACTGATGTGTCTGAATCGACCTTAAAGATCAATTCAGACACATCAGTCACGTCTCGTCACAGTGATTGCGCCGAATCGGACAATCCGTCATACAAAATATTCTTTAATACAAATATGTTGCCAGCATTCACACTCATCAGTTGACAAACAGTTTCCCAGCTGTCAGATAGTTGATAGTTCTGTGACCAAACAGGACCGGTTCGGTGCCGAGACTATAACGGGACTGATGTGTCTGAATTGACCTTAAGACGTGGAATTCCAATGTTGTCCGGCCCTAGGGAACATCTGCCAACAATCAATATGATCTCACGCCTTCTTTAACGTGTTAACCTCTTTTTGAACAGTAATGTATTGGACTATACCTTGTAAATTATTTGAAATCGATGAAAATGTATGAAATTTTTCTATGAATGCTAATTCTACGGTCTTTTGTAGGAGCACATTCAAAGTTTGGTTATAAACAACTTTCCGGAGACATTTCTACATAAATCAAAGGCTTGATTCACTAAAACCAACTTTAACTATTTTTGGACAACGCTGGGCTAGATTATACCTTGTAAATTATCTAACAGCTAGCTATCAAAATCTTATACGAAATTTGTCTTCTTCATTCAAGCATTCATCGAATAATCATTCTATAGTCTTTGGCTGGAGTATACTTAAACTTTAGTTATTTACAAACTTATGGAGATGAAGGAACCTGTGAAAATTCTGTTAGGGTTGATGAAAAGCACTCCAACTGAAACGAAATTGGATATGTATAGCCTATGAAAACCAATGCAGAGAATATCTAGCAATAAAAACGTTATCGTTGCATGTATAATGCAGAAATAATTACCTAATCAATTAAATACAGTTAATTTAACCGCTATATATATATTTCTTAACACCTTCGTGACAATGTGACCCACCAGTGGGTCACAGCGTTTCTTGACAAGAGCCGTGCGCGCCCACCCGTGGGTTACGGTCTAGTGCATATATTATTTAACCTAAAATTGTACAGTTTATTCTGGGAAATATAATACTGCAGTGACGGCTGCAGGAATGATATATATGTCTAGATTCACCGTGGTTTTCGAAAAGAAATTGTGTAAGCACTAGAAAAACTTTTAATATTTATTCAAGAGATATATTTTCGAAATGTGTGTTAATTTATTAAAATTTTTTATTAAGGTGATAGTTGTACGATAATGAATGAAATTAGATGTACAATTGTGTGGGTGTGTAAAACAATTAAGGACCACTTAGTGACAAACAGAACACACATAAAAGGACAAAATAGACAGTAAATTTAAAATGGGGGACTTACTGGCACTACATCACTTAGTACGAGAATGAACTGTTTTTGAACGCAAAATTTTAACATTTGTTTTTAATACAGATTTCAGTCCACTACAAATAGTTTCTAATGACTTTTGATGAAAAATAATTATCGAAGCAGGGATTCAACAATTTAGAATTTCCCATGGCCAGTTTGGCGATTCACTAGGCCACACAGAATAGACCAAGATGTTAGGGATTTTGCGATAGAACACATTAAATTTCCTGTAGAAGAATTGCACTATTCCAAAAAGTATGAGTTTTATCTTGAGGATTGTAATCTAGTAGGACTTGCTGGAAAATTCAGAATTAAAAATGTTCATATTCCAACATTTAGGCGACAGAGTTTAATCTATCATTTGGATACCCAAAATACGTGTAGTATCTGTGATGGTGGTGAATCTAACAAAGAGCATAAAGAAAACTACATAGCAGCAACTAGAGCGCTCAAAGTTGATAAGGAAAAAACAAAAGATTCAGACAACTTGGTCTACATTACAATAGTATAATACCGCTGTCAAAAATGACAACGTCCAAAGCATTTTACCTTAGACAAATGTGGTTTTATAATTTTGGGATGCATATTAAAACAAAAGGCTTAGACAAAGCATGTTTTTGTACGTGGACCGAAGATCTTGCAAACATAGGAAGTGCTGAAATATGCAGTTCTCTTCAGTTATATCGAAGTTGAGGAGAGCATTACCGAAAATGATTATCTGATCATCTGGTCCGATTCATGTGCGGGCCATAACAAGAACTTCCACATTCCTTGCCTTTAGTAGTCAAATTTTATAACTTTTGCCCCACACTAAATTATTCTTCAAAAATATACAAACAATTGACAGCACGCATCCTTACCCGACTCCTTTAAATCAATAGAATCTTGAGTCTTGAACTATTAAAAAAGAAAACTACCTTTCTATGGAACCAATAAACACTTTATTTATATAAAATATGTCAAATAGCTATTTTTAAATTACAAATCCTTTGTTACATATAAAATAAATATATGGTACCACAAAATGATAAAATAAATCGATCAATTTATGAAACTTACAGTCTAAATTTACAAAAATAACTCTTAATAATAAAAGAACATTTTTTTCACTAAATTAAGTTTCGCAAACTTTTATGGAAATAATAATACGTTATTTAACAAAACTCTTAACGTTAACGTTGGTCAGGCTCGAGGACCAAACCTTGATGAAAATCAACAACATTTTGATACTGTGTGTATTTAGTTAAACTTCTGATGCATGCTATACATATTATTCGTTTCTATTAACGATTTATGACATAAAACAAACATTACTGCATACGTTCATAAGAGAAAACCGAAGTTGACTCACTATAGTCACCAAAACAAAAAGTTGAGGAGCAGCTAAAGCATTCCCATAACTTGTTCAATTAAAATACAGGACTTAATTTTAACATTATAATTGTATCAAAATAATTTAGTTTAGGAAATGGATATGCCGAAGTATTTCAAGTAACAAAAATGGTTATTGAAGATAACTAATCAACTAAAATTGTTCCAAAAAAGAGTTATGATATTTATTTAAGAGTGTCTTATAATAAAACACTGTAAGAGAATCCAAAAGAAAGAGAACAATGATTATAATTGTAAAATAACTATAATAAACTATTAAATACACAACAAATCGTCTGTCATTGACACTTAACTTTTTGTTGACTATATAATATGTAGTTATATTTATATATTTTAACATAAAATATTCATTTTTACTGATAATAGGAAATAGATATAAAAAGGTAATCAATATATAATTCTTTCAAATGTTTTTAGTAAAATAGACAGTTAAAATGGCGCAGTCAGTATTTTTAGTGTGCGATTCTGTGACGACTTTTTCTGAGGATAGATATGTAATTGAGTTACCTAGTCTTAAAGGTAATTTTTGCATTTATTGCCTGGTGGTGATATACCAAATTTTAATAGAAAAATGGGGCAATAAAGCTAGTGCATATACCTATGTATAGGAACAAAAAGGGTAGTATTTGAAGTATTGAAAGAAATAAAAACTTAATACTGATATTAACGTAAAAATAACTATCGGGCGTTAGTATCATGGGTTTTCCTGGATTTCCTCTTATTTCACAATGTATTTCTAACATATAACTAAAGATAGGGATTTTTACTAATTAAGGACCAATTAAGTGCTGCTTAATTGTGTATCGAGACTATTGTGTTAAAAATTGACTTAAGATAAATATATGGGCATCCTTAAAGAAAGTCGTCCCAGATATTAAAGGCAAATTAGATTGAATCATGACAGGAATACGTGAAATAGACCCAGAACAAGTTATTATTACTATCACATATTATTCCCATAAAAGAATATAGAACTAAAATACCTCCGACAAACAGTTGTGGAGTTTACCATTTATACAAACTAAAATTCGCACAATTTAACTGTGTGTTTGGTCGTCCTCGACGAAGTCCCTCGCCACTTCCCTGCTAACGCACTCGACGTGACTGACTTTGTTCCTGAACTTGACTCCGTAAAACTTGTTGGCGTGTTCGAGTAATTCGGGCCTGAAGGTGGTGGTGATGAATTGGGCTTCACCCGCCAACTCGTGGATCATGTTTGCGACTGATCTCCTGCGAAAAAAAAAAAACGTTGATCATTGAACACGATGACTGGCAAGTGCAAAATAATCTGTTGTACAAATCTTATTCAATCGATCAACATACTGACCTGTAGGAAGGATCTAAAGCTTGATCAATTTCGTCGAACAGGTAAAACGGAGCTGGATCACACTTCTGTATAGCAAAGATTAACGCCAAAGCTACCAAAGACTTCTGCCCACCGGACAATTGATTCATTTCTTTCATCTCGACGTCGGCGTCCGTGAAGGATATTTTTATACCGATTCCGATAAAATTGTCGGCGTTGTTATCGTCTGGACCGATTTCGTGACCTTCTTCGTGGTCGTTAGTTTTAAGAACGAGCTTGGCGCGTCCTGCAGGTACTAGTTTTTTGAACACTTCGGTAAAGTACTTCGAGATCTGCTTGAAGGTGAACTGGATAGCTTCCATTTTGCGTTGTTCTAACATGGAAATGAGTTCTTTAATTTTTTCGTCCCTGAAATGAGTTTTCAGACAATTAAAAGAACCTAATTGTGATTAAAAACTGCTATAAAAATGAAACTATAGGTATTCTAGTGCTACTGATTATTTTCTTAAAACATTCGGGGTGTTTCTCGATTTCAACGGGCTTTTGTAATAATAGCATTGTTTATTCCCAAATTATTGAATCATATTATCTAATTAAAACAAATTGTGAAGATTATTAAAAAAAAACAAGAAATTGTATAATAATTAACCCTTAATAAGACAACGGTAACATATTTCCCACTTTACTTTGTTGCCACATATCAACAGTTAGATGTTGATAGGTTATGATATTTCTTGCCGCTAAAAGTTGATTTTTTACTACAATTTCGCAAATTATTTGGTGAATCGGCTCCAAAAATCTAGTAACTACAAAGTAATTGTAAAAAACGCAAAAGTCATGCGTCAGAAACATTAAAATTTCTGTTATAATCAGAACGTGAACTCCTTGTTGCCTTAGAAGAAGATTGGTCTGCTGTTGATCTTAACTCAGATGATGATGATGACGACATTTTTATACCATCCCCACCTACTTCTGTTTGCGGTAAGTACGATGGAGATGTTATTGATAGTAGAATTAGGCAATTGCTTGATGAAGCTGTTCCTTCTACATCCGTTGATGTAAATTTCACAACTGAAAGAACATATGAGAATGACCCACAAAAAAATCAAAGTGTCTTGGTATAACAAAATTCAGGGGTTACGTTAATTAATTTAACTGGACAATGGACCTCTGAAACAGGTGTTCCTGAAATACTAAAATTTGAGTCTGTTTATTCAAATGTTCAATTCACCCATGAATGCCAACCAATATTTTATTTTGAGAATTTCTTCCCTTGTGATCTAATAGTACAAATTGTTGCTCAAACGAATTTATATGCTGTACAAAAAGACAGCAAAAATTACAAAAACACTAGCCAAGAATAGCCCTTTTATAGAACTACACCCTTTACCAGAAAGATTTACATTGGTCAGGTGATCCTTTTTATAATAATCCTGTTATCTCCAAAGCTTTTACAATAACCATAATAATCAAAAAATTAATAGAAAATATCCATCTAAATGACAATTCAGAAGCTGCAGAGAGAGCTTCACCTAACTTTAAACACACTGTATAAGACCATTTATAGATAGACTAAATGAAATTTTCAAAGAACAAGCGAATGATATTATAGTGTCTATTGATGAATGTATGGAGAAATTTAAAGGATGTAGTTCTATTAAACAGTATATTCCCAAGAAGCCAATTAAGCGTGGTTATAAAATTTGGGCAAAGTGTGATTCTATTAATGGGTATCTGTACCAGTTTATTATCTACACTGGAAAAACTCAAGGCATTGAAAATAATGGCTTGGGATACAAGGTTGTAACTAAATTATGCAAAGATATACCACACAAATCTTTGGTATATGATAAACAGATGTATGCTATACATACAGTCAGACCTGATTGCAAAGGTTTACCCGATTGCATGAGGAAAAAGCAAACCAAAAATGAAAAACTCCGAAATAATGAATTCCAGTGGTCCTATAACAGCAATAAAGTGATTGGATACTAAAGAAGTCACGGTTATTAGAACTGTCAATCAACCACATTAAGTAACCATGATAAAACATACACAAAGAGATGGCACAAAGAAAGATATAATGTGCCCAAAAGTTATTGCAGATTATACACAACATAAGTAGGAAGTCTAGAAAATCGTGAATGAGATTGTTCTTCTTTCTTTTAGATTTTAGGCTTCGCCTTGGAAGAGCTCTCATAGGTGACTTAAAGGCATCTCGACCTGTTATATTTAAAAATAAAAAAAAACGGAAAACTCTGGTGTTACAGACGAAATTCGGCTGAGAATTTCGTCATATACCAGATGTTCAAAAAATTATACAAGATGCAGATTTTGCTCAACAAAAAAAGAAGAAAAACGAACTGACATTATATGTAGTTATTGTCAAGTATCTTTATGTTTTAAATCATTTTTTCTACTCTCTTACTAGTAAATTGTATATTACCTACTATTTGGATGCTAAGTAAATGCATCATAACAGATACTGACACGAAATGACTAGCACGTAATAAAAAAAATTACGCTTCAGTTTTATAAAAATGTGTAATATCACATAAGCCTCGTAAGTCAGGTGGTCGAGTTACCATGGAAACGAATTAACAGACGTTATTTTGACAGATTAAAAATTATTAATCTGTCAGTGTAAATATAGTGGTAATTTAATTTTTATAAACGAAAATAATCGTAGAAAAAGTATAGTACACAACTTGAGTTGTAAGCTTATTACATGCTTGTAAAATTACTGCGCTCGCCGCTACGCGGCTCGCGCGCAACTTTTTTACTCGCATGTAATAAGCTTCTTACAACTCTTGTTATGTAATATACTATTACACTGCTGTAGTTGAGACCTAAATTAATTTTTTCACCCATGTATGCATTTTTGGTTTTTATTTATTAAATAAATTGTTTCACAAACTGTACAAGGCTAATTAATTTCCCACCTACAAACATTTTTTAAGGAACAACAGGAAAATTGTATCCATCACCTTTTTTTATTACTTCTTCAAATTATTTTTTATTTCAACAAAAATATTTGTTATTTACCTCCTTTAGATACTTACCAAAGTATATAAACAAACAAATTAATTCTCCTTATATCCCATGTCTTATTAAGGGTTAAAATGAAAATAGTGACTTACCCTCTATCCAGTTCTTCTTTCCTCTTTTGAAGCTTCTCCTTTTGGTCTGAGAAGCTCATAAATTGATCTAAAGCTTTCTTGTTAACGTGACTGAACTGTTTGAGTTTGGTATTTGCCTTTTCTAGTTCTTTAAATAACTAAAAATTGATATTAATAACAACAACACGTGTTTGAAATCGATGTATAAGTACTTACCGATCTTGACGACATTTTAATGAAATGCGAATACAAATCTTGAGCCGGTAACGCTCCTAGTTGATTGATTTTCTCCACCGATTCGGCAATTTTTTGCTCCAAAAGATTTTGCTTCGATGCAAACTTTTCCAAATGCTTCGCGTCTTCGTCGATTCTGTCTTGAGCGTCTTTTTCCTTCTTCTTCCAACTATCCAACTCGCTCTGCTCCGTTTTTAGCTAAATTCAAAGGAAAATAAAAAGGGTTTATGTAATTCTTCCTGTTTATCTAATATTAATTTTAAAAAATCTTAACGTGTTAAGATATAAATTTCGTTTCATGAACAGTCTTATTCCCTTAATTTTTTATTTTTGCTCAAATATTTGAAGTTTAGGCGTGACAAATCATCTTTAACGTCAAGTAAGGTTTTGACGTATGACATCACATTGACAATGATAGATGATAGTTGTCCGGAACTTAAGGATTCTACGAACTGTGACACATTAGAGAAAATAAAGAACTTTAATAAAGTGTATTTAAAAAGACACACAAAATTAATATCTGGAGTTTGAATTAAAACATTAAAAAACATTCTTATGCTCTTATAAATCAAATTCGATTGTCGATTGATGGTGGCAACAATGCCGAATAATTACAAATATTGCATAAAAAAGTGCAAAATAGTGATCTATGTAAATGGTGTTACGATACGTGTTTCCTCCCAGCTGTGCAAAAATGGCCGAATTTTAAATTTTGGGAGAAGAATTTCATAAAGTGATATAAGAAAGGTGAAAATAACTTAAACATAGTAAAATTAATAACCGATATAGAGATACTTAAGTTAGAAAGCGAGTTGCTGAAGTCCCAGTTTGTTAGCTATTGTTATTCATCTATCTATCTTGATAGATGATATTATTACAGATGATACATGAAGAAAAAACATGTAATAAAGTAAATTTTTACCTTTTTGGTTAGATCTTTAATCTTATTTTCCACTGCAGTCAAATCCTTATTAATCTTGTCGACTTTCTTGTCGATTTCCTCCAGTTCCCCTTTACTGTTGACAAGCTGGCGTTTCCTATCTTCTAAAGATATTTCTTGAAGGGCGTGCAATACTTCATCTCGACGTCTAAAAATATGAATATCTTAAATTTCAGTTTTTGCGAAGCTTAAGTTCTTAATCGACAATTTTCGCTACCTAGCACTTGAAGAATAGTTACGAGTTAACAAAGGTGCAATATAGAGAACTCGATTATCTGTCAAAATAGGACAAATTATAGTAATTTGGTTAAATTCATACTTGCACCGTGTTCAAGTTAGAATATTTCAATAAAGTGTGGTTTCAATTATCCTGGAAACCTGAAGTAGCAGACGGGAATGTTCTCTAGTCGCTCTTATTCGTTGGTCCTTCGAGCCGGATGTATCGTTGAGTCTTTTGCTATGGTCGCTTTATATATATATATATATATATATATATATATATATATATATATATATATATATACATGGGACCTTTATAAGCCTAAAGCAAGAATCAGATCAAGCAAGGAAATATCAGGTGGACCGAATAGTTTCGAGATATAACAACAATGTTTAAATAATTATACCAAAAAGAAAAGACTAGGAAACTTGTTCGCCAGTAATGACAAGCTTGTTGATATATAAAAGGTTCGTAAACTGATATAGCTACAGGGCCTGGAATTTATGGAACAAGGCCAATGAGGGAAGTCTGGTATTAGTTTTGGAACATAAACGACGGTATTTCACAGTACACTCAGCTCCTTACCCATTGACTCAAAACTTGTATAGACCGTCTGAATATCCTTATTTGGAGTGGAAGTCAAAATAGGATTACATTAATCTGGGTAACGCAAAGGTTGATGCATTGCCCTAGAAGGAACATTCACTCCACCAATAGGCTCGAAACCATTCTGCGAAATTGAGTACACACAAAAAGAGCAGCATTGTGACTTGAGTGGAACTCTCTCAAAGAGTGGTGAAATGTATCAGCACTGATATAAGATGAAGATTTTATCAAGGGACATTTAGTTAAATTTACCCCTTTTAATCCCATCAAGGCTCAAAATGCTGAAGCTTTCTGCTAATTCTGTCTAGAGAGTGAGGAGATAGCATTGTACATCTTTTGCCACTAGAAATAGCTTGCAAAACCCGAGGATGAAAAATCAGAAGCACGGAGCTAGATGCATATACGACTAGTTATTTCAATATTTCTTCCGATTATCACAGGGAATTACTTGTAAAAACTGTTTTAAAACTAAATAAAGCTTTTCAGGGATAAAAATAATCAATATCAAAGAAGTGAAATAAAAATAATAACTCGTTTGTTCTTTTACAAAAACAAAAATTATACAAACAGCTGTTAATAAAGGTTTTTAATATATCGTAACGTATAGAAGACAACTCAAAATTTATTACTAAATACTATATTATATGATTATGTTAAATTAACAAATAAGTACATACCTGATTAAATTATTAGTCAATAGATTCTCTAATTTATTCTTCTCAGCCTCTAATTTCATTCTTGTACTGAACGCTTCCTTGTTTTCTTTTTGTAAACGTTGAATGTCGTCGTTCAACGAATCAACTTGCGCTTGATCATGGACCGATAGTTGTGCCAACAGTTCTTGGTGCAATTCAGACTCGAGACCTTCTTTGGTGGTTTGCATGGCTTCCAAACTCGATTTACACTGTGCAAGCGAGCGTTCTTTAGGACCTCGAAATCGCTCTATGTTCGATAATTCTTCCCGCATGAGACGCAGCTCCCCTTTGACTTTATCGTAGATTCCCTGTAAGATGATACAAATAAAAATCATGTTATAAGCGATATTTAATGTATTTTTGTTCATTACCTTAGCTTTGCTATTTTTAGTTTCAGTCTTCTGCATTTCGGATACGATACCGTTGATAGCCGTTTCGGTTTTTCCTAATTCCAAACGAAGACTTTTTAAGTCTTGTTCGCATTGTTTAATCTGCTCCATAGTCTCGCTCCGCGTTTTCTGCATCTCTAATCTACTGTTTAAGACGTTAAAATATCCACCGGTCAATGAACCTATGAAAAACAAGGTTATTATTTGAGGATATTTATTTATCAATGACTGCATTAAATTTTTTCAAAATTAATAGTACACCGAAAAATTAGTTGACTTATCGAAAAATGGAACGTTTTTCATATCGAAGATGTCACCTAGCGCACTTGGGACGCAAACATCAAAGTTTGCCGCTTTTTCCTACGGTCGGCAAAATTTTCCCACACTCAAGCCCCAAAATTAAGACTTAACATGAGACGACTGACAGATATTAAAAATGAGAAGAGTTGATAGCTTGTATGTAACAAAATAATAGAAAAAAGTAGAGTTAAAACAAGCAAAATTGGGAGATGTTATCGCTTTCTGTGTGGCTGTAGTTTATGAAGACGATGGACATGTTCACATGAACAGCTGCCATCTTAAAAGAAGGTATAATGCTTTAGAGATCTAAAATTTTCTACATTCGAGTGCTCTATGGTTTACTATCGTATGAAACACAATGACAGACGAATACATTTGAATATAGCATCTCTATGGGCGTGGTTTGGGATGACTGTGGACGACATCTTTAAAGAAAGAAGTTTATATAAATACTCTACAGACTTGAAATTTCTCACATTCAAAATCCCCAAACCCTACTATCCTATGAAACAAAATAAAAGAACATATGAATAAAAGAAAAAGAGTTTATAGATCTCATGAAATTAAGAAAAGATTATCAAAAACTTCAAAGACGCAACTGGATTAGAAGAAATACCAGTAGAACTGTTAAAACTATTGGAAGAGGATAATTTGGAAGTATTAGCAGATTTGTTCAACATAGTGTATGGTACGAAAATAACACCCTTGGAAGTATTGACAGATTTGTTCAACACTGTATATGGTACGGGAATAATACTGCAAGAGTGACTGAAGTCAGCATTATGACCATCCCTAAAAAAAAAGCAGCAAAGGTGTGGCTGGATTAGATGAAATACCAGTAGAACTGTTAAAACTATTGGAAGAGGATAATTTGAAAGTATTAGCAGATTTGTTCAACACAGTGTATGGTACGAAAATAACACCCTTGGAAGTATTGGCAGATTTGTTCAACACTGTATATGGTACGGAATAATACCGCAAGAGTGATTGAAGTCAGCATTATGACCATCCCTAAAAAAAAAGCAGCAAAGGTGTGCTCTGAGTATCGAACACCGAGCCTCATGAGTCGTACTTTAAAAGTACTGCTTAAAGTAATATACAAGAGGATCTATGAAAAGTTAAAGGAGGATATTAGTGAAACGCAGTTTGGGTTCAGAAATGGAATGGGTACTCGTGAAGGACTATTTGCCCTCAACATACTGATTCAGCGATGTTGGGATGTAAATGTTGACCTTGTGCTTTGTTAACTACGAAAGAGCTTTTGATAGAGTAAGACATGAAAAATTAATATCAATACTTATGAATGAGCACACTTACAGTAAAATTATAAAGATAAACCAAACATTATACTGAAACCAAAGTGACATAGTCCAAATTCATTTTAAAGTTATACACCCACAAAAATATGATATAGGAATTGGTCAAAATCAATTGGTATTATATTAGACATTTTGCTAATACAAAAAAAGAACAAAAAATTTAAAGCAAATAGACAGACAGATCATTAGAGAACGTGTTTAGATAAAAATAATCCCAGAACACACTAGTATTTCAAAGAAAACAGATGGAGTGACAAATATTGTTGGATTAATTGCTTATAAAAAGGCGACCGCGCCAAAAAAAATATTAAAATATAAAAAATATTTTAATAAAAAAAATAATAAATAAGAAACCATTACGCCATTTCGTCAGTAAATAATATATGGTTAGTACTATAAACTATTACTAGTTTACTTACCTCTAGATGACACTTGATCTCCATCCAATGTGACACAATCTAATCCTGTTGTTCGCGCCAATTTAGTCGCCACTTCCATGTTACGGCAGATTAAAGTCTTTCCAAATAGGTAACGCATAGCTTTGTCGTATTTGTGGTCATAATGAAGTTTCGACACCATGGGAATTGCATCCTAGAAACGAAAAAAGATAAAAAAAACATATGAAGATGATATAAATATAAAACTTACCGAATCATTCGGATAATCCTGGTCTCTCACGTTCAATCGATTCAAAGGCATAAAATTAACTTCCCCTGGTAATTTTTGTCGGTTCATCTCCTTCAATATCTGAGTACCGATCATATCAGTATCGACCACGTGATGGAACAACCTGTTACCAGCCGTTACTTCGACGGCAGTGTAGATACTCTTCTCGCAATCGAAATTTTCGATAACAGGTCCGTGATAATGCTTAGCGACGTCAGCTTCACGTCCACCTCTAGCTATAAAAGTCTCCAAGACTTTGCGTACACTATCGCGACCGTTTAAAATAGGTTTTCCCACCATGGAGCGCAATTTTTGATCCGCCTTGGCTAGTTCTTCTTTTAAAGACGACAAATTTTGTTGGACGTTGTTTTCTTTACGCCAGTGTTCACTATAAACATAAATAATTACTTTTTGAACCAATAAAAAATTAAAAATTACTTACTTCCTTGTAGCTTGATACTGGTCTTTGTTTTTCTTCAATTCGTAGCACTGTTTATTGTGTTCATCAATAAAATTCTTTTGTCTCTCCAACTCCTGTGATTGCTCTTCAATTTTCTTCGTCAATTCAACAGTTTTAGTAGCGTCCCGCTTCAAATCTACTTCTAATTTGTCGCGGTGATCTTTTTTGTCCTTTAACTGTTTATTCAATGACTTCAATTCATTCTGAATCCATCGATCTCTGTCATCTCTCGAAGTGAACTGACTTCCTCTTCCCTGTTTAGCATACAGTTCTTTTCTCTTCTGTTCTTTGAGCGACAATTCCCGCGAACACTCTTCTTCTTTCTTTTTCATGTGCTCATATTGCGGTTTCACCTTCTCCAACTCTGCCTCCTTTTCCTTAATCGACTGATTCAGCCTAGCCAACTCGTTTTCGGCTCGTTCTTTGGATTTATTGTCTCCCAATACTTCTTCAGACAAATCCTTGATGATTAAGTCAAGCTTAGCTTTTTCCTTAATCAAGTGCTGATAGTCGTTGTTTAGAATGTCGCGTTCTTCTTTCTTAGTTGTCAACTCTTTCTTTAATTCTTTGATCTTTTTTACAAGATTCTTAATAATATCTTGAGCTTTCTTTAAGTTATTTGCCAACTTTTCCTGCTCCGTGCCAGATTCATTCCTTTGTTTTTCTAACTAAATTAGCAAGATATAAAAAAATAAATTAAACTCAATAAAACTTAATAAAAATAAATCACTTACATCTGATAGCTTCTTCTTATTCTCATTCAACTCCAACTCATGTATAATATATTCCAAAGCTCTACGAATCTTGTCATAATTTTGGTATTGCTTCAATTCCTCCTTTTCCTCCTCTAAAGTACTCAAACGTTCTTCGATGGTACGTAAAAACTCTTGAATTTTCTGTAATTTTACTTCAGTCTCCCTTAGAATTGTCATAGATTCATCTCTTCTCTCATCATACACTCTTGTTCCAGCAACTTCTCGGAGAAGTTTCAAGCGGTGTGCATCTGGAGCAGTTGCCATTTGGTTGATCTAGAAAAAAATTTTAGGTAGATATGAAAAATAATGTCCTCATAGACAAATAACAAAAACAATTAACATAGAATTCCTTTAACGATCAAATTGATTAGTATACTAAGGATAGTCTATAAAATGATGAAAATAATACATTCAACTAGAGGAAATCTGTGAAATGAAATGGTTAAAAGTACAACTGGGATATGAATATTAAAAAAATAAAAATTTAGCTATTTACTTAAAAATATATTGCAAACATTTGCAAGGAGTTTTTCATATAAAAAAAACAGTTCAAATGAATTGTTATGATTCATAAATGTGTAAAATGACAAAAAACACTTTAAAATAGGAAAAAACTGTTTCCTTGAAATTTAGGTAATATATTTGGGTAATAAGAATAGAAGGCAGATTTAAAAAAGAAAAGAGAGTTCTAATAATGAAAATTTAGTACCAGAAAGAAATAAACAAGATTAGGGAAACCCAAACAGACTTTTTAAAGTTATATGAACTGAAATAGATAAAACTTAATAAAAAAAATTAATTATTCATGCAGTGACACAAAGACTTTCTCAATGTAGTTAAACAAAGAGAGGAGCCAATACAGAAGTTCTATGAATACATGTGTCTTTTGTCATTCGTATTAGGAATAATTGGAGGAAACATAATTATAAAAGGGCACAGAGCTGCGTGCCATATGTCCAAACTGGTCTTAGTATTTGTTTGTAAACCAGTATTTTGCTATCAATGGATAGTTTAGAATTTCTTCCAAGCATCCAGTTCATCTTTCTAAATGTTATATTGTTATATATTCTTCTCCCTTCTTTATAATATGAACTTTCCAACACAGTCTATTATCCAAATGTAAACCAATATATTTTACAGAATCTGCAACAGGGACATGAATTTTATCTATTCTAATAGGCTGATGTCAGTATCTTTTATAGATGAAGTTGATATGCACTGGTTGTATACCATTAATTTTTTATATCTCCATTTTTTGTTCAATTATTGATTTTATTCACTGAGATCTGCAGTTATCTTGCAGCTTCTTCATGGTCTTCTCCAACTGATGCACTACCTTGTGGTACCCCTGCTTTGGCTTTTTTCAGTCCAGAATAGGCCTTTTACTTAACTAAAGTTAAATAGGAGGCCTATTTAAAATGCAAGATTCCAATAATTAAAGAGTATTGTTTTGGTAGTACTCTTTTTAATTTGTGAATGAGACCCTTGTGCTATACTCTATTGAAAGCTTGAGCAACATCCAGAAAAATGGTTGAACAAACTGTTTTCCTACCAGTACTCTTTCTACTAAATTAGTATTAGTTATTCTATGTATTTGATTCAAGGTCGAATGACTTTCCCTGAAACTAAACTGTTAAGGTGGCATGAGGTTTCCTTTCATCTATTATTGGTTTTATTCTTTTTAGCAATACTGTTACAAATAGTTTCTAAAGTATAGGCAGCAGGTATATATTTCTGTATGATGAAACTTCATTTTGTGGTTTATCTAGGTTTGCTATCATTATGACCACCGCAACTTTCCAGTACATAGGCACATAGTCTGAATGATGAATTTATTAAGTGATTAATTTTCACTATAGCTTCTTTGCAAGCTATTTTAATATTCCTCCTGTTACCAGATCGGATCCAAGCACTCTTCTAGGACTAATATTTTTATTTATTTCCTTTTAAACTTCTTTAAGGGCAACAAATCTCATTCAAGGACATCTCCCTCGTTTGGTTGTAATGTGTTTTTAAATGTTCTACAAAACGTTTAACTTCTGTTCATTGTTTCTGACCCAGCTACCATCTGCATTTCCTATTGGAACAGGACGGGTCTTTTCAGTTTCTTGGTAGCCTTCCATAATGAATGATTCCAGTGCTTTTGTCATATGTCAATTCGCTAAGGTAAAGTCCAATTGATTCATTTGTATTTTTTGGTTTCTCTTTTTGCATTGTATTGTTTAGTTCTCTTTCATGAGGTGGATATCTGCTTTGCTTTGTTGCCATTTTTGTCTTAGCTTCCTATTTTCTGAGCCTATATCTCATATTTCTCTTGGGCGATTTTTTTCTTCTATTCAAGTTAGGTTTTTTGAATAGCTCTACTTCAAAATCAAGTTGTTTGATTATTTTTAACTTTACAGAAAGGTCAATCATTGCTCCCAGTTCTTGTTTGCAGCTTTCCCAACCTTTTGTATCACTTCTTCACTGATTGTTATAAGGATGGGAGAATGATCTGAAGTCATAATATACAACTCCATTTTTTTTTTCAAAAATTTTGATGCTATATCGATACATTTTTGGCAAAGTAACGTAAGTGACATTTTTGGCAAAAATCATGTTTTTCAATTAAACTAACACTATTATTGTTAAAAAGGTACTGCCAAAGTGTAGTAAGCCTAGAATTACTTTAAACCTTTTTTAGGACAAATTTTTTCAGTCATAATTTAAATAAGTTTAACCAGGTTGAATTAAAAAATTGTTTTTTCTACAAATCGTGTTTGGTGACTTACATTACTTTGCAAAAAATGTATCGATATTTCTGAATACAAAAAAGTCAATTGGCATGAGACATTGATTGAATAATTATATTATTTATATATATATATATATATATATATATATATATATATATATATATATATATATATATATATATATATATATATATATTTACAGTTTTTGACAAAGAGCATTACAAAAAATCTTGTATGTAACAGGTATAACATAACTCCCTCTCTAAAATTCTCATTCCTTTGTAGCTTGAACTTAAAAAGTGTTTGTCACACTTAGAAGTAAATAACTTGTTTGGGAAAGTATGTACTATTTCTTTTCATATTTTTACATTTAATATTTTTCTTTTAGTGTACAATAATGTGATCTAATTCAATGCTGTATTCTAATGACTTTGTTAAAATATATTGCTTCCTGTTATTTTGTAAAATTGTTAAACTGGCTATGTCATTTTTTATGTTTTAAGTATAGAGAATTTGACTTCTTTTGTTATTTTGTGTCGCCAATACACACAAGTGAAGTTTTGTATTACAGTGACAATTAACTTAAATTATCTCCACTAAAAATCGCAATACAATAGAGTGATTTATGGTATACCCTCTTGGTATACAGACCACCACGTAATGGATAGAGGGTTCTTTTCTGACCATCTTAAGTCTCAATACACTTCACCACTAGACAGCCAACAAAATGTACCAGTTTGATAGGTTCTCGTGCTTAGTGCTATCAAGCCTCGGCGGGCATCCTGATGTTGTACCAATGAGATTCCAATGGCTAAGAATATGACTTCAATATTTCAAAGAGTAAGTCTATATTCTTTGTACAGACAACAATAATGAGTATGGCTAGTTAATTTCATAATTTATTCTTGATAGTTACTATTTTTCGCTAATTTATTTACAAACAAAATATTACTTTTTCTTCATTATTATTTATCTAATATCATTTAACCGGCGACCTCTAAGTTTTATACAAAACATAACTATTATACATTTTTTTAAATAAATATTTTTTTAACTATTTTTTAAATTACAGTACAATTGCTTATTTTTTACAGTAAATTATTAACTGTTAATTAAAATAAGACGAAATTGTATTCAAAAATTAAATTATTCATATAGAGACGAAGGACCTTCCCATGAAGTTAAGTAATGAGAAGAGCCAATAAAAGTGTACATATTTTATATTTTAGCTAATAATTTAAAAATAAATTATATATAAATAATACAAAAACTCACTTTTCCCTGCTTTACTATATAATAGGGATTGGAATTAGAAAATCCAGCTGATTCCAACAAATTCATAACTTCACTCCTTGGTACAACCTTCTTATTAAGAAAATACTGGTCTTTCTTAGCACCAATAACACGTCGCAGGTATATTTCTTCATGTTCGATCTATAAACATACAAAATATTGTAGATTATACTTTATGGCACTTTCTCTATACTTTTGCCTACTTTATAATATATGTTTTATGTGAATGAAGAAATTATGTATTCTGAGGATGAGTAAAACAAATAACTTACTGGAACACGAGAATCTGAGTTATCAAAAATAATCTCCACATAAGCTGATACAACTCTAGGACCTGTACCTTCATGTAAAAGTGCCTGTCTTTGATCGGGTCGTAGATGAGAATATTCATCACTGAGAACGAACTGAATAGCTAAAATAATGACAATGTAAATAGTAGTACATCATACACATTATAGAGTACTATAAGAATACATGAAGAATACTCACCATAGAAAAAGTTACTTTTCCCAGAACCATTACGTCCTACAACTACATTATGTCTTTTATCAAAAGGGTCTACTATTGTTTGATCTCTGTAACTTTTGAAACCCTGGATAATTACCTAGAACAAACATTATTCTTAGAATCGGATATGTTTGAGAAAAATAAAAGATACTTACTTGTTTTATATGCATTTTGAAAAGTTAATGTCTACTATTATTAGATCGGAAAGAACCAGTAGCATCTCCTTTTATTTTATGAAATATTTGATATTCTATTTGATTCCTATATTTATAATTACAAAATGTAAAAACATAAAATAACAACTAGCGCCATATATAAACCGCCATATATAAACGAATTAAGTTCTGTCAGTTGTCAATTGTCAACTAGAAGTAGTGGTCTTCACTAAAGCTGGTATTTATCCAGAAAACTTCACGTTTTAGTAAATTTATACTAAAAAAAATGAATGGTTTATAACTTAATAACTTTATTTAATAATAAAAAAGCAGTAACTTTCATAGATATCACTTAATATTTAATAATTGTAATTAACACTTCCTTACTTTCTTGTCGAAATCAACTTCTTCTAATTTTAAAAGGAAGATGATTGTGACGTTCAGTGACGTTTTATTTTTTACATTTGGTTTTGTTGATGTTGGTTTTTCTACCATGTGAAGTAAAATTAGAAGTAATATAATATTTTTGGGCCAAATTGTTAACCTTTTAATCATTTTTTTTTCGAAATGGATTCGACTAATTTTCAGATAAAAATAAAATCGGAACCTAATTTAGAAGGAGAGGCAACAGATGAAGCAAATAATCTATTGAGAAATGGTATTTTAGTAGAAACAAGCAAGGGGTATTTAACAATATAATGATGTAACCTAATTCATTAACATATGTTTAATTTTAGCTTAATTTGTATGTCGCTAAACGATGCTCTATCCTTAGATTTAAATCTATCTGTGGATGATTTGAGGAATGTGGCTGCCAAGTTAATATCCCAACAGAACATTGTAGCACACCCTGCAAAATTATCACACAGCCTTAACTGTGATAGTGATGGATTCTCCAGCGAGTGTAGCGATATCAGTACTACAACATCTGGATCAACAGTGCAATCTCCTTTCAAATCACTTCCACCTTTAATTTCTGATAGGATTGTCAAGTATGAACCAGCTAGAAGTATCAGTGAGAGTAAAATACAGTTTACTACAGGTAATACATTTTTTGTAGCATATTTGCTAGATTATACCTTATTTATATCTACCAGGAACAACATCAAATGTATTTGGGATCATCTCTTCTTTCATATTGTCTTTTAGAAAATGAGATATCTTTCTTAGGCCTCAATGTTTATAAATTCTTTAAAAATAATATTTTTTTAGTTTTCCTTTTACAATTACTATGGAGATCAACTAGGAAGAATATAAAAGTACTGGATAATAGAATAGAATAGTCATACATATTGTTCTGAAGCTATTTTCTTGTGGCATTTTAAAGTAATTACTATTTAAATGCGAATATGCCACAATTAAAGGTTAAAGTATGTTTATTGACATTTCAATTTCTACTTTGGAAATCGTTCTCAAAATACAAACAATAGTATCAATGAGTGAGACTAGGCTCACAAAAGAGGGACAATCAATTCTACCATTTATTAATTTGAAAATCAAAGTTAAACCAAACAGATCCTCCTCACAATTAAAGCAGGCTGATAGACCTGTATATGATAGTGTAGTCAGGCTACACTATCATGCAGATCTGCTATGAATCGTAGGGTTACAAGGAGGAGAAATGTATCAATTAATTTACACAATCATATTTGAATTTAAACAGATACTTTCATTTGCCACTGCCCGATGTTCCTGGTTTTAAGATCTTCCTCTAAACCGTCTATCCACTTTTTAGGGGCCTTTCCTCTTGTTCTATGTGCTTGAGGTTTTCATCTTATGACCAAGTTGAGGATTATCTGACATTCTTTTTAAGTGTCCAAGCCAGTTTAGTCTGTGTGACTTTACAAATCTAACAATATCTGTGCTTTGCATTAATTCATCCAGATCATAGTTAATTTTTATTCTCTACGAACCATCGGTACAATGGTCCAAATATCTTTTTCAATATTTTGTGCTCAAATATCTTTTTCAATAGTTTGTGCTCAAATATTCTCAATTTATTTTCATCATCGAAAACTGATGAAAAAAGAGAAAATTGGGCTCTGATAATTTCTGCAACTCTGTTAACTCCATGAGCTAAACAAGTAATATGAAAAAGATTCCGACAAAGTATTTTAAAATTTTACCCCACTTTAACCATATATGGGATAGCATCTGATAAGAAAATCACAAATGTAGTTAATGAAATGGCATCTGACAAGAAGAAGTTTGTCAAAGTGTCTTGAATGCATTGTGTAATGGTCAAATTGTTTGCTTTTTCAAGTTGTTTTGAAGATATTAAAAACGAGTTTCTTGGACCATGTTCTTCTGGTGCGCAAATTCGCAAATGAACAACATATCTTCCACAGCAGAATTTTTGATTTATATATAGAGTCGGCACTTGATTTCTTCAATGTGGATTCATCCGGGATATTAAACTTTAGATCAACTTTGTTCAATTTTTTTAATGGAATGTTAGAAGCAACCGTTGCCTGGCACAGATCTTCAAATAGTGTTTTCATCATCATCTTTGGCTCTGCAACCCTAGGTGGGCCTTGGCCTGTTCAAGAATTAGTCTCCATTCCCCCCTATCTTTCGCCCTGGCTTTCCAATTTCTGACTCCTAGATTCCCTCAAGTCATCTTCGACTTGAGTTTTGAATCTAGATCTTGGTCTGCCTCTCTTCCTGGTTCCTACTGGCTCTTGATAAAATATCTGTCTTTGGGGATTTCCAGTGTCCATTCTTTCAAGGTGTCCACCACCTTAGTCTATTAATTTTAATAGACCGGACGATGTTGCATTTTTCATAGCATTGATACAACTCAAAATTGTAGCGCCTGCGCCATATTCCGCTTTCTTGTACTCCTCCGTATATGTGTCTAAGTATTCGTCTTTCAAAGCGGCCTAACAGTTCTTCGTCGCTTTTTACCATAGTCCATGTCTCTGACGCGTATGTCAGGACAGGTTTAATAAGAGTTTCATATATTAGTATCTTGGTTTTTCTGCTAATTTTGTGTGATGTTAAGAACTGCTTTAGTCGCCAGGAAGAAAAGTAAGCTCTGTTCGCCAGGTATATTCTTCTCTTAATTTCTACGCTTACTAGGTTGCTGTTATTTAGTTGTGTTTCAAGATATATAAACTCCGATACACCTTCGAATGTGTGTGCTTCTGTCACCAGATCTTGTGGTGCCGCTATTTGTGTGCTGTTCGTGACCTTCTATGTATTTTGTTTTGGATACGTTAACCTGCAGTCCCATTGTCTTCTCGGCTTTTTCTAATGTGTCAAAAGCCTGTATCAGGTCTCGTTTTGTCCGTGTTACTATGTCAGTGTCATCTGCGTAGACCAATATCTGTACACTTCTATTGATGATCGTACCTCTGGTTGTTTTGCCCGATTTCTCTATGGTTCTTTCTAGCGCGATGTTAAAAAATAGTGTTTTATCGTTGCTTAATGAACCCGAACAGTTTTCCAATGATTGTTGATTTTTTTCCTCAGTTCTAATTTTTTTTATATTTGCAGTATACTTGGCTGTTGTGACAAGTTACTTATAATTTTTGAACATGCAGAACACATTTTCACCTTTTATTTGAAGTTCTGCGCAAGGTTTAATCCACAGCACATTAAATTTCACTTTAAACATTTTCTTAACAATTAATTAAACACGTTTCCTCCTCCTCAATCCTTTAGCCCTTGTCAGGGCGTAGTGACACCCTAAATATTATTAGTCTGCTGTCTCCATTGACTGCGATCTTGTGCCATATGGACGGCTTCATGTAGGGATTTTCCCACCAAACTCTTCATTTGGTCCACCCATCGTATTGGAGATCTTCCTCTTGGTCTTCGGCCTTCTACCTTACCTTCTACTACCAATAGTTCCATGGTGCCCGTTCTTGTAGCTATGCTTCTAGCCCGCTGCTTTTAGTTAAGTGTAAACACGTTTACACTTAACTAAAAGCAGCGCTGAACTGAAGTCCAGGAAAGCAATACTGTCTACTTGAAGTTTAGATGGGTGTACGATCGACGACAGCGTTTGTCATCGGCCACGATTCGTCCCGGGAGCTGTAAATCTATTCAAATTATAAATGAAAAATAAATAATAGTTCATTTTATGATTATTTCTGGTTAATGCCAGGCCCAAGTTAACATCCAAGTCGGTCAACTAAATTTGAGGAGATTAAGAATTGTTAAGAGCTCAGGTAAATATTACCTAGAAATAAACGGGCAAGTTCTGCATAATTACATCTTAATGAGTTTCGGGTTTTCTATTGCAGAGTAAAGTGATGAAAATATGTAAATATATGTATTAACCACTTGAATATGCACTTTTTTCAAAAAATCAAATATATAGTATATGTAAAAATATGTAACTTACATATTATAATCCGCGGCCTAGTTATGAATTATTTAATACAACATTGCAAGCATTTAAATTATCTCATATCTAGCATGTATGTTTCTCATGTGCTTTAGTTAATTGAAAACTGGATGTTGATAAATTTAATTGAATTGAATAATTCCAATAACTGCTGATTTTTCTTCAATGTGTTCAAAATTTTCCAACTTTCAATGTATTTTCCAACTCTGAGCACAAATAAGATACAAAATCACTTTGTGACTTTATAGATGATGTCAAACCTACAGAGTTAAAAATCGAGATTGATCCAATAACTGAACCCGTAATCACTATAGCACCTTTAAAAATGACCATCGATGTAGTCAAGCCGAAGAAAAATAGAGGTGGGTGGCCGAAAGGAAGGAAAAGGAAACCTGAAGTTTTGAATTTACCTCCCAAAGCACCCGCAACTGGATATACCTTGTATCTAAACGAACAGAGGAAAGACTTCAAAGATAGCAACCTAGCATTTCACGAAATCACTAAAGTTATAGGTAAATATTTGATATATAAGGTAATAATAGATATATATTTAAATAGGTTATAATATTTAGATTGACGAGAAATTATTTCTCGATTTGTTGAAGTTAATTTTCTGTTCACAAATAAATAATTCGGTTGCTTAGAGATATCTTCCAAGTTTTCTGACCTTGTTTTCCCAACCTTCAATTTTTTTGCTTTTAAATTGTTTGGAATTGCATCGATCGCATCAATTCGCGTCTTGCACTTATTTTTTGCACTTTTAAATTGTATTTGCACTAATTTTTCAGTTTTTGACGTTGTTATCAATATATTACAGGAAACAAATGGTCTAGTTTAACCCTGGAAGAGAAAAAACCATATTTGGAAAAGGCAGAGGAAGATAAAAAGCGGTATAGGGAGGAACTAAAGCAATATAGACAATCCGATGCTTATAGGGCTTATCTTACAAAAAAGCGAAAAAAGAGATTGCAAAATAATGTGATGTCAGAGAGCGATATGGATGCTACTGACGATTTTGATGTAAGTAATTACTAGTAATATGATGCGCGCACATTAATTTGCTTGTTTTTATGTACAACTCAAGTCACATCTCACAGTAAACATGAAAGTTGACTTATGACACGAATGACACATTTCGCGTCAAATGTCACATTAATTCGTATGTGAAAACCATAGACCTATATATTAGCATAGATCATCAGTCTGTAGAGCTAAGTGACGACACCATCTTTGTTGTCGTTGTTATTTGTGTCTCTATCTTACATTAAGTAAGTATAGCAGCATCTTTTTTTGTTCGGGAGAGAGCGAGTGGGGAGTTTTATTGCGCCAGAGAGAGAGAGAGAGAGAGAGAGAGAGAGAGAGAGAGAGAGAGAGAGAGAGAGAGAGAGAGAGAGAGAGAGAGAGAGAGAGAGAGAGAGAGAGAGAGAGAGAGAGAGAGAGAGAGAGAGAGAGAGAGAGAGAGAGAGAGAGAGAGAGAGAGAGAGAGAGAGAGAGAGAAGAGACATATCGAACAACCGCAAAATATGTTGTCGTCACTACACGTTGCTGGTATGCTCAGTCTATGTTGAAACTATAAGTCTATGGTGAAAACGTGATTTCTGTTAGGTAACACGCTTTTCTCCTAACAGGAGGAAGATAATGAAGAATTGTACTGTCGAACGTGCGATCAGTGGTTCCACAATCTTCACAACAAACGCGAACATCTTCAAGGGAAACAACACCTTCAGTCAGTGGCGGGTAACATTACGAGGGCGCTGAACTCCGAAGCGGAAGCAGCAGCTACTACCAGTACGTTCAGTACCTCTTTAGACGAATCTAGTTTGGACGGTATGCCTAATGTGAGGTTGAGCGGCAACGCCGCGGGATCTAATTCGGGAGGTGTCGGCGATGCTATGGCACATTTGGCAATGTTGGTTACTAGTAAGTGATATTTTGGTATACGATATTTATTTCTTAAGTCTGTTGCACGTCATCAACGAGATTTTAATATCAGGACTACATGAGTATTCATATACATAGATAATAGGCTGTTCAATAAGTTTTGAGCTTCATTAAGAAAAACACAATTTTATGGTTTGAAATACACTTCGTCATCATCATCAGTAGTGCGACAACCCTTTCTGGGTCCTGGCTTGTTCTAGGATCTTCCGCCATTCTGTTATGTTCTTTGCTTTGTTTTTACAGTTGGTAATCTTAAGTGTTTTCAGATCTTGTTCCATGTATCTAAGTTTGGGTCTTCCCTTTGACCTTCTCCCTACTGGTGTTTGCCTTATTATATGTTTTGGCGTTTCAGTCTCCAACATCCGTTCAACATGGCCCATCCAGCGCAGACATCCGTTCTTTATGGATGTTACGATCTCGGGTTCATTGTATGCTGTGTATAGTTCAAAGTTATATCTTCTGCGCCATATGTCATTTTCCTTTATCCTCTTATATATGTGTCTAAGGATTTTTCGTTCAAATGTACCTAATAGGTTCTCATCGCTTTTCGACAGTGTCCACGTCTCTAATCCATATACAAGGACCGGTTTTATCAGGGTCTTGTATATTTTGCATTTGGTTTTTCTTGTGATGTTGTTAGATCTGAGATGTTTAATTAGTCCATTATATGTTTTATTAGCGATATGTATTCTTCTCTTAACTTCTTCACTGATATTTTTATCTGCGGTAACTAGTGAACCTAGATATGTAAAACTTTTCACGCTTTCGATGTTATAGTCTCGTATTGTCAGATTCTGTAGGTTTCTTTGGCCTGTCGATTTACTGGCCTTCATGTATTTGGTTTTTATTTCGTTAATGTTTATGCTGTGCTTACCTATAGTTGGTAGGTATTGTTGCTCTTTTCCTATTTTTGCGTTGAGAACACCATAAATAATTTTGATGTCATCCTTTGGGCATGAATGGTATTCAGCTTCTAGTTCTTCATAGAATTTTTCTTTGACATCGTCTTCCTTTTCCTCTGTAGGGGCATGCACATTTAAGATGCTCTAATTAAAAAATGTTCCCCTTAGTCTCAGGATGCACATTCTAGAGTTCATAGCACGTTGAAATACACTTTATTATTCAGTATTCTCCCCGAACATCAATACATTTGTTCTAATGAGTTTCTAATTTATGAATTCCATCTGTGCAGTGAGAATTTGAAGGGGCTGTAAAATACCCTTCCACAGCTGTTATGACCTGGTGGAAGCCGCTATGGGCCAAATCTGGGGAATACAGTGGATGCTCCAACAATTCGAATGGAATTCATGGATTTTAGCCTTTGTCAAATTGCTCATATGACACAGTGTATTGTCCTGATGAAAAGAATTTTTTTCTTAAGCAAACCGGGTCTTTTTTACAATTTTTTTCTTCTAGCTGATCTAAAAAGTTATAATCATATTCAGAATTTATTGTTTTACCAGTTTGCAAGTAATCCACAACCAACATTCCTTTCACACTCAAAAAACTGATGCTGACAACTTGGCCAATTTCTGGACACGAACTCGTTTCGGAGCTAAAGAACCAGGATGACATCACTTTTTGGCATTTTGTTTTGATTTAGGATCATGGTGATACCCAAGTATCACCATGATCCTGAATCAAAACATATAACTATAGTGATGAATTGACACATACAATCTACTTTAACATTTCGAAAACGTTCTAACTGTTGCTGAGAAAGTCGCATTCGAATGTGTTTTTGTTGCATTGTTAGCGATTGCGGCATCTATTGTGAACACAGCTTTCTGAAACCCAATACTTCAGTCAAAATATTGCTTACACTGCCCAATGAGATGCTTAGGGCTTCTACTAAATCTATTTCAGTCACTCGACGATTTTCCAATACGATATCCTGTATTTTTTCTACTATTTCTGGTATTTTTTTTGTTTTTTAGAAGTCCTTGACGTGAACTAATTAAAGGCGAAGAGTCCTTATGTACTTTCAACAAAAAATTAAGATAGTAGCAACGCCTTCTTTTATCGAATCGGAAAACTTACTGAACAACCTATTAGATTACTACATAACGAAAAACCTGATAATTTTAGAGCTATTTTGTTAATGCTTGTGTAAATATTTGTTAAACAAGGTTTGTTAAATAAGCACTGAATAAGTAATACGCCAATGGAGCTCTAATTTATGGAGCGCAAATGACAGTTAGAAACTTTAACTAGGTACTGTTTACAGTTCGTGTTGATATATCGATGTTACCTGTGCCACTCAGAATGCGGCGAGAAAAATTAGAGACTGGACCGTGCTGCCGGATGACACTGGTACAGAACACCGCTATTCGATTGTCGGAATAGGGACTACCAACTTGGAGTCATCAGACAACCAAACAGGAAGCAGAGGTGGAGATAGAACGGACTGGCTAGCGTTTGATGAGTACTCTGTATGCAACTATGAGAAATTGCATGAACAGAGTAGAGGAAAAAGAAAAATGCCTCATTGGTGGTGCGAAGAGATCGTCAATAAGAGGAAGGAATGCATTTGTCATCAGAACACAGGCTACGAGGAAGAGGAGAAGTAACTGAAGCTAGCAGATTGGATATAGTATACAATGCGCGAAAGAAGGAATTGAATAGGAATATCTGAGCCGAGAAGAACAGACACTGGAGAGAATTGTGTGACAAGTTGGATGAGGATTTTTGGGGTAAGGGATACAAAATCGTAATGAACCAGTTCAAGCTGTACCTTCTGTATGAGATGCCATTTGATGCTTGAGGTTACTCGACAGCAGTGGAACGCCGAAGCTGAGCGAGCTGTACCTTTTACCATAGACGAACTCTTCTTCTTTTTGTGCCTATTCGTTTCGAATATTAGCGATCATTCTGGCCATACTTATTTTATTACCTGATGCTTTAAATAGATTAATTGTTATTCCGGAGAACCATTTTCTCAGGTTTTTTAACCATGATATTCTTCTTCTCCCAATTCATCGCTTTCCGAATACTTTGCCTTGAAGGATTATTTTCAGTAATCTGTATTTATTGCCGTTTCTCATTATGTGTCCGAAATATTCCAATTTTAAATTAGACGAACTCTAAGTGCCCTGAAGACACGAAAGGCTCCGAGACTTGATGGAATACCACCAGAAGTGGTGAAACGCTTTGGCAGTGTGGAGCCGACGTGGCTTTTAAAACACATGAATGTACTGCTTGAAACTCAGCGATTTCGGTCAAATGCTGTTTGCATTCTGTCGTGCATAGGTAAATTATACGAGAGGACGAATAGACACAGTCATTGAAGTGTCAGGCGTTTGTCACCCAGGCAGTACGGTTTCAGAAAGAACAGGAGCACGGTGAATGCGGTGATGGAAGTCTTCTGGGAATGGCGCGGGTGTGAGTTTACTAGAGGTGCGATCCTACTGTTGTTTAACGTCCGCAATGCTTTTAACACATTAAAATGGAAACACATAATTGGTTTCGGACTATGTGTCAGAGAGGAAACTTGTGGTAGAAAAAGGAGTGGTTGTTAACGTGACGGCTGGCGGTTAGTCCTAGTCCGGGACTAGGAAAGTCGAAGAATGGTTGAAAATGCATGACCTAGAACTGGCTGTGGGTAAGACCGAGTGTATGGTTCTCTCCTAGGTACTAAAGAAAAGGGACGGGATAATATTCGAATGTGCAGGAAAGAGAGTGGTTCCAAAGAAATGCGTGAGGTATTTAGGTGCGACTCTGCAGCTCACCCGAGCAGATAGAAAGAGTCTATTAAGGGTGCCATGTACAGAATAGTCTCTGCCGAGGCGTTACGAGTTATTACCTGTTGTAATTAGATGCACGTGCTAGTGAAGGAAAGAGGAAGAATATACGAGAGAAGAAATATAGACATAGCAACAGAACGTTTAAAAAAAGGAAAAAGGTATGGCAAGAGGAATGGGACGAGATGAGAAGGGTGGCGTAGTAGACGAAGTAGCTAATTCCTTATCTGAGAATATGGATGGACTGCGCGCATCGGCGTTTGGATTACTTCCTGACGCAGATACTTACAGGACATGGTTGCTTCAGGGCATACCTTTACAGATTTGGAAAGGCAGAAAATGACAAATGCCTGTCTTGTGAAATATCGGCCACTGTCTCACACACTATGCGATATACGAGATATACGAGAGGAGCCTGCCTGAGGGAGTTAGGAAGTAGGGTGCAATTCGACCGATGTGAGCCCGAACCACTTCCGCAGATTTTGGAGCCACGAGTGTCTTCTCCTGCTGGCCCTCGCTTACTGTCTATTTTTCCCTGGACAATCAATTGTAGCAGACGGTACTTATCGTGTCTCAATATGTGGCCTAGATATTAAAGCTTTCTTTGTTTAATTGTATTACACGATCTCTTTCTCCTTTCCGATTCTTTGGAGTACCTCTATGTTGGTGACATGTTCGGTCCAGGATATACGAAGAATGCGTCGGTACACCCACATTTCGAATGCTTCTAGTTTCGCAGTGCTGGTTAGAAGAAATAAATCATGTTATTTTATTATTGATTCAATATGAACACTAATTGTTTTAGTAATGTGTTCAGTTTTATAAATCTTTAACCTAAGACATTATAATTATTTTAAGCAGTAGGTACCTATTTAAATTTCATATTAAGTTTGCATTATTTTTATCATAACAGTTTTTCATTGTGTCGATCTGAATATATGGATTAATAATTCCCCACATTGTTTACTATTCCGTCAATATGACAACGCTGTGCGAAAATGTCAATGTTGTAATTAGTACCTAGAATATGAAAGTTTTTATATACACTTTGATTGTAAAATGACATAATTTTTTATTTTTTCAGAAAGAGAAAAAGAAATAAAAACTCTCAAAAATCGACAGCAAGAATATATATCCCAACAACAAGCGCTGTGCAACCAACTTCATCTATTGAACGAAAGACACAAAAAACTGCAGAGGGACATGATGCTACTAAAGGAAAAGGAGAAACAAACCGAAAGTAAAGTTATGAATCTTTGGCAGGTGCCTAGCTGGTTTATTATCAACAACGTCAGTAGTTCCGATTCAGTAACTGATTGTAATGAAAGTACCGAATGATTTATGGGTGCATTTATTAATTTAAATTATTTTCTACTAGAACTGAATTGATCTTCAGACGGAATTGTTTTCACAAGCCAAAAATTCTGGTATGTGTCAAAATAATAGGAGATGCATTTTAAAACAAAAATAATGACAACAGTCACTGCTAGGTGAAGGCTGAACTCATTCACTTTCACTGATTTCAAAAGACATCAATATATGAGTGTAAGAGAAATATCCTTACATCGCATATTCTTTAAAATTACAACTTTTCAGTATGATGTGGTAATTCTCGGTTAACATCACAAGCACTAGTGATTTAAATCTTCCTAGGCATCGCTTGTATATTGCGGTAGGGGCGTGGAATGATGTGGTTACCTGATAAAAGACGGCTGAATGGAGGAGATTTTGTGCTGACTAGATTGGAAAAGATAATAATTTAAGAGGAATCGGCTTGTTGAAAGTAGTTGGGTGTAGTCGATTTCTTTTGTTAAGACACTAGGGATGTTATTCGATTTCAATAGCTTCGATAGCTGCGAAGTATCCGCAGTTTCAGAAAACAAACGGGAGCTTTTAGTTTTGTAACTTTGGTCTCCCCCAAAGAATTCTATGGACGAATTATTTGTGTGTAGTTCTATCTTAATTTATTGAACAGGGGGAAAGATTATGCTGTGCAATAAATCTCAATAGAATTAAATATCCATAAAAAAAACATCAAAATTGCCTGTTTTTTTGAAATTTAAACATATTTCAGATGTTTAACTTCATGAGCGTTGTATTTTCTTGAGTTTGGTGTAGTGATCTCTTTTGAATGAAGCACTCGTAATTTTATTTGATTTGAATAGCTTTTTAAAGTATCCTCAGTGTCAGAAAAAGAATAGAATTTTATAGTGATACACTTGTTTAAAATCACTTTTATTAACAGCAAACCATTTTATAATACTTGATAACAACTTTATTTGATTGACAAAATTATTCAGAAACTCAATTATTACTACTACTGGAACTGTCAACTTCCCGTTTATATACATTTTCTGACGTTCCAGACCTTACGAGACATTTAGATGACATCTACAACATTCTTAATTGTGATTACTTCTTAATTTTTGTCCAGGGACTTTTTCTATATGTAATAAAATCTTACGGAACTATGGTAACAATAGTTTCAAAAGCTGGAATCCCTCAAGAGAATTGTATAAACTAAACGTTTGAGTGAATCACTGTGGTTGTTTGGCGAAATGAAGGTTGACAGAAAGAGAGGATTTTATGTTAGCGGGTTTGGAACTTCATGATCATTTAGAAGCCTTCATTTTGAATGGACTCGAGTTTAGTCATCCGTTTTATTAATATACTCGGGTAGTATTCGAATTCAATGACTCCTCGAAATATCTGTGGTTTTGAGTAAACGAACGGAAGCTTTGTGCTTAAGAGTTTTGGATTTTCTAGTGCATTTTATGGCTTAACATAAAAACCGTACCTGTTTTTGCAATTAAAGCAGACTTTATTTCGTTTACTGAACTATTTATCGTTTTTAAGTCCATTTTGAAAGGACTAATAATTGTACTATAGAGTATGATCAAAATGTAAAAAAATGTGTATTTATGTACTTTATACAGTAATTTATATATAAATATATATTATAGTGTATATATATAACAATCTTCCATTATATTTTAATTATTTTGTTGTTTGTTTTATAAATAAAACAATAAATTTACTGAAATGCTTTTTATTTATTATCGTTTAAACATTTGTTCGTTTATACAAAGGCCTTAAAATTATGAACTTCTGTGCAATACATTCCAAACAAATAAAGAAACAAAAGGAACGTTTTTTTAAATATGCATTTATTTCGCAATAATTTAGTCTACCTTCAGCTCAATAGACTTTTTGCAATATATCAACGATTTCCAGATAGTTCTGGAAAAAAGAATACGACAAAAGTTATTTTGAAATACAAAGTGAAATTGAAAACAATGGACATGGAACAAAAATTTTTAGTTTTTGTTAGTTCAAAATCAAGGCACTTATACAAAAATATATATCACATTAGGAACACACAAAGGTTCCAACGTACAAATAACTAAACAATTTACAGTGTCAACGCATTTACATTAAGGCACACATATAAAACATACAATTCGTGTTATTTACACACTATATCATATACATCTATCATAATATATAAATATATCCCATCAAAATATACAAAATAGTTATTTTCAAGTGATCTTTACTATGAACATACGACGTGCCTGTGCGTCATGAAGGTGTCAGGAATAGATTTTGTTACTGGTGATCAGAAATGAACAAAAATGTATTCAAAATCTAGTTCCCGTACACCAATAACTATAATAACCATAATTTACCTAAAAAACAGGTAATCAATTCTGAAGTGTGATTTCACAATGTATTTTTTAGGGTAAGGTTTAAGTTTGGATGTGTCTATGAATAATAAGACATTTTTTCGTAGACATAAATAGACTGCGCGCTACAATACAGACCCATTCCTCAGTGCGACAGAAAACTGACGCAAAGCAGTCCCTGCATCTCTTTCTAATGGGTGGGGTTTATGGCCCATATGACCTTCCCAGTTGAAAACTAGTGAAAGGAAGGTCACGTGATCGATAAAGAGATGCAGGGACTGCTTTGCGTCAGTTTTCTTTGTCGCACTGATGGAACGGGCCTACATTGTAGCGGTTAGTCTATTTGTATTATGTCTATGCATTTTTTGGTAACTGCAATGATTTTTCGAAAATATTTCCTAATGCTTACAACAAAATAAACTAAAAGTAGCTGAAAATTCACTGCTCTTGAAATACCATGGCTGTCGTTTGGTTTTTCAATCCAGACGCAATCATAACCTTTAAATTAGACATCACGACGTTACCACTAATATACCCTATTACCTACTTCATCAAAACGTAAAATGAAAACTACATACCACTTTAAAATATTCCAAAAATTCGTTTCTGTAATGTAATTACTTATTTTTCATTCAAATACATTCATTTCTCGCATCTAAATGATTTTCCAAAATGTTTTATAATTTTTACAACAAATAAACTCAATTATAGCTGAAAATCAACTGCTTTTCAACTACCATGGCTTTTCAGTTGGTTTCTGAATCCAGGCGTTTTAACATCCAAACTATAGATAATGATATTCCCACTAATACGTCATATTACAAGTTTCCTTCAAAACGTAAACTAATAGCTACTAGTTTTTACTACGTAAAACTATTTAATTTAACTATTATAAAAAATCATTTATATAGCATATGCCTATTTTCCCTTCAAAAACTTAATTTTCTCGCAATTACAATGATTTTCCGAAATATTTTCTTAATTTTATTACAAATAAACCAAAAAAGTTTAAAATGAAATAATCTTTTATTCCAAACGTGACCATAACCTTAAAAATAGGCATTATGACCTCAACACTTACGTAGAGCAGTATATTTTCATCAAAATTACTAAAAATACTACAAATATTTTTTAATATTAAACTCGATTCAATCGTTGTATCTATTAATCACGTTCTATCGAAATATACAAAACAATATACAGTGCATTAATTGTAGGATTAGGTATAGCATATATAAATGGCAACATTGCCTGACTCGTGGCGACAAACGTATCACCACTGCGGGAGAAGATACATTTGTTTTCATTTTCGGGATGGACGGGATTATTATTATTTTTGTCATACTAGTTTATTATTGTGTTCATACTGCTTAGTTACCAACTACGTAATAGTGTACTTTATGGCCCGCACTTAGTTTCACTAATGTGTTCTACTTGGTTTTCTGTTATCCAGTACTGTAATTTTTCATATTCCTTGTCGTAGGCATCTCTCGACTTATGTAGTAACTTTTGCGTTGCTTTTTCCACTTTTATTAAAATTTGGAGATCTCAGAAATATCTTGCATTTTCACGGTTTGAGTTTGACACATTTGACAGCATTGCCGTAGCGTAGCAACATAACACGGAAAACATAAGAGCAATGTCTACTATAGTAAAATTCATTAAGCGATGCAGGGAGATGTAAAAATTAAATCGTGTCCGAACCTGTATGAGCTGCCGACAACGTCGGCAGACGAAATAAAGATGGACATTTGGGTTAGTTTTTAAATATTTTTGAAGAACTGTTACTTGCATTTATGCATAAAATATTCATTAATTTTATAAATCGAATTATTTTTTCACTTACTATGTATTCAGTGATAACAATAATTTATTTACTATGCAATAAACACTAATAGTAGAGAAAAGAAAAAATATAATACAAGTGTCATAATTATACTGTTACTTATCGGAACGAGTAGACTCATTTGGAACATCGTTAACAATTATCTGTTAAATTTATCGTTGTTTATATGCCCTGCATTGCTTAATGAAATAAAGTATAGTAAATATATTGTCAATATGAAATCGAATTTTTGGATTTTTTAGAACATATTTATTTGTAGATGCAATAACGAACTACTATGACATAAAAGTTTGTATGCACCGCAGGTATTAATAGATGTATATGCTCTCGGGCGATTTACAAACCCTCGGGCCAGAGGCACTCGGATTTGTAACATCGTCGCCCTCTGGGCATAAACATCTATCTACTAATACCCTTGGTACATAAATATCTATTAAAACATTTTATTAAAATCTTTTTGAATATCTTCGGGGATAAAAAATAATATTTAATATAATGAAAGTTAATTGTCAATAGTATCGAATTTTAAAGAATAGTATATTTTTTATGTAAAAGCGTGAACTGCTGAAATAAAATTACCTTACAGACCTCATCATCATATAACGGGGGTCCTACGGCGATTGCCGCTTCCCGCATTTCAGCCTCCATCTTTTCCTATCTCTCCAATCTCCCTCTTCTAAGTCTCTAGATTGCATTGCTTTTGTAATTTCTCTTCTCCAGGAATTTGGTGGTCTTCCCTTTTCCTTCTTTCTGGCGGAACATACATTAAGGCTTTCTTTGGCCACCGCTCCTCCTCCATTCTCATCACGTGACCATACCATTGTAATTGCCTTCCTTGTATTCTATCTGAAAGAGTATCTCTAATTCCTGTACGGTTTCGTATTTCCTCATTCCTGGTTCTTTCCATTCTCGATACTCGACATGACCTTCTAAGATAATCCATTTCCACAACGTCTACTTTATCTCGTTCATTCTTTGTCATCGTCCAACATTCGGCACCATATGTGGTAATTGGTTCTACAATTGCTCTGTATACGCGAAGTTTGGTATGCATCTTTATTTTATTAGACCACAGTAATGAATTCAGTATTCGGATGCATTTTTACAGACCTAATAATTAAAAATTAGTGTCAATTTTTTTCATTTTAGTCAAAGAGACCCCTCCACTCCTATCAGTAATGCAGCATTTACCACTAAATACCTCATTCCTAACTAAAAAATTAACGCACTGTGGATATTTTAAAGTGCACTGGCGATATCACAATACAATTTATTCATGAGCAAAGTAATATGATAATTGATCTAATTGAGTTTGTATAATAGTTCTCTAAAAATTACATTCTTAACGAGAATTACATAATATACATATAAAAAAAAAATTACGATTTTTTAATGTTTACACAATTTTCCTCTTTTAATTAATAAAAGATGATTTAATACATGAATTTTCTCATAAGTGCGCTCATGTTTTCTAAAATCAGAAAAACACTAGTCACAATCATTCCAGCTGATTAGATTGTTTACACAAAAATCTCAAAAATAAAAGATAACTCTCCGTTTGTTATAATTTGAATTGTTGAATCATTAGCATAAAAATTAAATTTCAATTCCAAATAACTGTTTATAAAATTACTTTCCAACTCTAACCCAGATTCCTTTTAAGACACTAACTACAATGTTGCCATGACGCATCATGTTGCGTAGATAGAAAAATTCTTGTACCGTATATCTATAAAAAAACATTAATTGCAACAATATAAAAATGAAAAAGTCTTATCAAAAATTACAAACCAAAGATTTGAATGTTTCTTATTATTACTATTTACAGGTAATCTTTTCAAAACTAAAATAAATTCTCGTACGATGATTGTTATGAATTGCTCACACACGGTTATAGTTAATTTGTCAATCATTCCCTTCAACACCACAGATCTTGATCACTAGGAAGTTTCGCATTTAGTGATTCGTTTCAGCGGAGTCAAAGTCTGAAGAACCATTGCAGAAAACGAATTATTTAGTAGTTAAATCATATACTGGAACTATTAGTTTAGGGCAATGAAGATAAATTATTTTTTTCACATTAATCAAATGTTAAACTAAATAATATTGTTAAAGATTGTGCCTTATTTTCATATAGGGTGTTTTAAAAAAAGGTAACACCACCTCAAGTTCCGTGACACTCGTCTCAGCATTTCACTATAGAGAAATAACTAATACAACGCCAGTGTAGAAGCTTGGCTTCAAAAAGTCTCTAGGAGGGGTAAAAAAATGAAAAAATAAGTTACATATTTTGATTATTTAACGATTTTAACGATTTTTTTCGATTAACGAAATATATTAATATATATATATATATATATATATATATATATATATATATATATATATATATATATATATATTTCTAACGATTTTGAAATCGATTTTTAACGATTTTGCTAAAATTATTGGCAACATTGTAATAAAATTTTGTATGAATATGTTTTGGAAGCTGATACATTCCATTGTTTTTATATCTGACTCTCATAGAGGGTGCTAGTTACAAGGTTCGTACCAAGTAATATTCAACATAATTTTTAAGGGTATAATTATTAATCAAAATTCCAAGTGAAACTAAACATCATACAATTTTACACCAAAAAGCTACACAAACTCGATATTGTGTACCGTTTTCGGAATATTTTGATTTAAAAATTATGAAGTAATAACCTTTGCAGGTATAAAGTAATGAAAAAGTTATTAATTAAAAAAAAATCACAAGAAAATTAAAATAAAGTCTAAGAACATAAAATAAAATTCAATTAGAGTAAGTCTCTTCCGTTTTTTGGAGTTATAATCAATAATTCTATCCTTAAAAAAAGTTATGTTGAATAATATGAATAATGCTTAGTACGAACCTTATAACTAGCGCCCTCTATGAGAATCAGATAGAAAAACAAATTCATGAGATGAATTTGCTTCCATAACTTCCAAATTTGTTTCCAAAAGTAAACCCCAATTATTTTTCAGTTTTTTACCTCTCCTAAAGACTTTTTGAAGCGAAGCTTCTACACTCACGTTGTATTACTTTTTATAGTAAACTGCCGAAACGAGTGTCACGGTACTAGTGCCACGAGGAGAAGGCGTCACAAAATATAGCAGCTCTTCACATCGATTCACTAGTCTCGATCAATTCGTTTCTAGTTATTATATATTTGTTCTAAGCAGGTTTAAATTAAGAACTGCATTACAAACAGTAAATTTACTGTTTGTATTTTGAGAACGATTTCCGAAGTGGAAATTGAAACGGCAATAAACGTATTTTTATCTTTAATTGTGGCTTATTCCCATTTAAATAGTAATTAATTTAAAATGCCACAAGAAAATAGCTTCAGAATGATATTTTACTATTTACTTTTTAAAATTGTTTACTTTTTTGGTGTTTCTAAACTATTGTTTTTTTTTAATATAATTTGAATGCTTTTTATTATATATGCATCTTTTTTAAATGCAAATTTATGCAATTTTTAAGGTAATGTGTCTAAAACTGATATATTTTTAACGAAAAAAACTTAGAAAACAAAAGATTTCTAAGTGTTCGAAACCAAATTCAGATTAATACCTAAATCTGTGCCTTCTACGATTTTCAAGACAAACAGACGGTGAATTGGAACGACAAACAGATGGAGAATATAAAATTAAATACATTATAGGTTCATTGCCCTAAACTTAAACAAGAAAAGAGAGGGGACGCATAATCGTATGGAATTGACTAATGCCTAAACCGGCACCAGATGAGTTGCCACGTCATATTTTATTTCTTTAGTAGAGAATAATGGATATATATCAACAAATGGATTTTCTTCAAAATTTATAATTGATCACTGATATAATGATCACTTTTTGAACATGATTTTATAATTACATATTGTTTAGTAGATCGATATAGTGTTTCAGTAGAATCTGAAGACTACCCTGTGAGAGGTAGTCATGGGCAACGTACAGGCACCAAAATATGGCGGTCACATTAAAACTGGACTCACTTTGCTAGCGTTATAATAAGCGTTATTAATAAGCGTTACCTGTCCTCTATCTTCACTTGTCCAAGGCCCTAAGCTAATCATTAACCGTTACAGTTGAGAATTTTGTCGCTCTTTACAATTTTCTATAATTTTCAAAATTAAAACTTATGTTAATACCCGTCATCGTATTCTGAAAAATTCATGTAGTGCGCATAGGGAGAATTCCAATCTCTTTCGAAAATACCTTGTAGCTGACTTCGGATCGTAGTGTGGCTGGTGTTTCGGTCGAAAACGGGATCGTGCAAGACGAACGACACACCCGCAGTGTCTGTAAAGTAGTCGCCGGACCAATTCGACGTTCCGATGAACGCCGTATTGTCGGTCACCATGTACTTGTTGTGGTTGACACGCGCGAAGGGGATTTTCTGTTGGTCTTTCGTGGCGGGAACGATAAAACGGCGCTGAAAAAATGTATAATGTTAATAAATATACATTAAGGAATTAAGGTGTATAATGGAGAAGTCTAGAAAGTTTCATGGGTTGTCATGTAGTGATGATGATATGAGAGAGTGAGGTGACTCGGAAAACCTTATCGACGCCATAAATTGGAGGTGACTTTCAATATTAAGAAGAATAAGTTTGCAGAATTTGATTTTGTGAAATATATAGCATTTTAAGCATTTCTTAAAATTCGAATTAAACAAATATCTTGCAATTATGTAATAAACTTTTCCGATTATAATAAGACAAAAATGATCATGAAACAATTACGACACAGAGAACATCCATTGCGTAAGTCTGCTGCATCAAGATATTTAGTGGACCAAATAAACTATAGCATACTACAGTTAAACAAATTTCAACTAGAATGGTGTATAAAACATTGGAAAGATAAGGCTCTTACAGGGGTCGTGGTGAAGCAAAAGGGCACTTACAGAGTGTCATAAATGCATTTTAAATCATTTAATTCGGAACTTACAGTAATAAGTTTTTTTTTGAGCCGAGAAGTTGAGCATAACTGTAAACAGATAAATAAATCTACTTACCACTTCAATGCTAACTCCACGATAAGCGTTGTTGATAGTCGCCAATGATTTGAGGAAATTATCTTCTGCAGGTCTGGAATGGTTCCACCAACTAATCAATAATTTTACCTGGAAAGACCAATCAATTGTTATCCCAGCACGTTATGCTTGTTTATCACTAACATTTGCTATATTTGGCTGGCAGTTCAAGGAGAAATGTAATTTTATTGGAATATATTGGTTTAATTGACAAGTCTGGGGATTTATTTTACATTTTCACGAATTTATTTATATTTTGACAATTTTTCTCTTTTAATAAAAAAAAGATATATTTCACGATGTTTTTCTGTCAAATACAGCTGTTTTAAATGTCTGTTTTAACCCCCTCTGTGGCTCAGTGTTAAGAGCGCCTACCTTTAAACCTAAAGGTCGTGAGTTCGAATCTCACCTGGGTGGAGAAATTTTCGTTTATTAAAAATTAATGAATGAAAATAATTTCTACCCTTGTGCGATCCGTACTCACCGGAGGGACCGCAGATGTTCGGATACAATTAGCGTCTCTTAGCAAAGACAATGACGTCGACTTTGCTAAGTATCAAGACAATTACTCTACACACACACACACACACACACACACACACACACACACACACACACACATACACACACACACACACATACACACACACACACTACACTAGGTACCTGACGGTACCATGCCAATGATCATAAGTTGTCGCATTAACTCAATAAAAAAATGTCTGTTAAATTGTTCTTGTGATAAACCACAGATATTAAACTGTTTCGATTAAGAATATATTTGTTTAAACAAAAATCTGCAAAGTAAAAGAGACCACTTTCTGAATTGACCTCTTCTTAGAGTGCCGTCTCCCTATGGAGGTTGGCAATCATAATGGCTATTTTTATTTTAGAACTTGCTGCTCTAAACAAATCAATCGATCTGCATTGGTACCAATCACGTAGATTCTTTAACCATGAGTTCTGACTTCGGCCAACAGATCTTCTTCCTTGAATCTTTCCCTGTATTATCAGCCTCAAAATTTCATATTTTGGTCCCCTCATCACGTGGCCTAGGTATTCCAGTTTTCTGGTTTGTATAGTGGTGATTAGTTCTGTTTCTTTACCAACCCTCTCCAGTACTTCTTTATTTGTAATTCTATCAGTCCATGATATTTTCAATAATCTGCGGTATAACCAGAGTTCGAAGGCCTCGATTCTTTTTAAATTACATTTTTTTAATGTCAAAGTCTCAGCTCCATATAATAATATTGAAAATATATAACAGCAAATGGTACGTAGTCTGATCTCCAAATTTAGATTTTTGCACGTTAGGAGTGGCTTCATTCGTATAAATGCTGATCTGGCAATCTCTATTCGTCTGTTTATTTCTACAGTATGATCATTGGTTTCATTGATCAAAGTTCCCAAATACTGATATTTTTCTACTTGTTCTATCACGTTACCATTTATTGTCAATAGGTGATGTATATTTTGTGGCCTTTTTGTAATCAGCATGTACTTCGTTTTTTAGCGTTTATAGTAATTCCCATCTCAGCACTATTTATACTCAAGCTTTCGATAAGATGTTGTAGATCCTCTATACTCGTTGCTATGATCACAGTGTCGTCTGCATATCTTAAATTATTAATTAATTTTCCGTTAACGGTGACTCCCGCTTCGATATTATTGAGCGTGTTTTGGAAAATTTCTTCAGAATATAAGTTAAACAAAAGTGGTGATAACACACATCCCTGTCTAACTCCTCTACAGATCCTCATTTCTTCTGAGTGTTGCCCATCAATTTGAACTATGGCACTTTGGTTCCAATATAATGTTTGCACTATATTTATGATTTTACTGTCAATGCGCTTGTTCATAAGTATTGATATGAATTGACCTCGTATTATTATAATTTTGAATCACAGTATCCTCAAAATTAATTGCAGCGACTTCGAATAACAGTTTATAAAATTGCGTCCCATCTCTAACACAGATAGTTTTAAGGCACTACAATGTTGCCATGCTGCATCAAGATATTTGTTTCTGCTAAATAGTAGGAAAAACTCTAAATTATTATAGTACTCTATTTTATAATTATCAAATAATAATGTATCCATTAACATTAAATTGATTGTAAATGATATAAAAATTAAAAATTACAAAGTAACTTTCCGAATGTCTCCTGTTATATTATTTACATGTAATCTATTTACAATGTTATCTCAGTATTTTGGACTAGAAAAATTTTCATATGCCTTATTAAAATTTGCCGTACATGACTGTAAATTTATTGTATTACAATAGAAGCGTCCTTACTTTACTTGACAATCTACAAAATGTCGAGAGATATCTCGGGATAGGAAGTATTTATTTAATATTTATTATTCAATTTATGATATATATCATGGCTTCACAATAACAGAAATTGGACGGGCATGAACGTGACGAATGTAACGGGTCACAATTACTAAGAGTGACGCAGAATAGAGATCAGATGTTCGAAGTTTTATGTAGTGATCGCAAACCTCCAGTAATGGAGTGCATCAGAACAATATTTAATTTATCCATCATTAAAAGATAATTGCACTTAAAGTGGAGGACAAGAACAATTCCTACTATATATAATAACGGATTGATTACGGCTGTCGCCGCTTCTCCGCCCCCAATTTCCATCTTTTTCTGTCATATGCAGTTGCCTCTTCTAAGTCTCTTGCCGCCATTGCTTCATCAATATCGTTGCGCCAACTTCTCCGTGGTCGACCTCTCTTTCTTCTTTCAGGAGGGATCCATTCCAGTACTCTTCTAGGCCATCTGTACTCTAGCATTCTTTTAACATGTCCGAACCAGCTTAATTGTTTTCTTTCTATGTCATCATTGATATTTTGCTCCATTTTCATTTCGTTTCTTATTTGTTTGTTTTTAACTCTCTCCAGTTCCGATCTACCGCAGATTAGCTTTGGTGACGTCTCATACTTCCGAACCGTAAAGTGTAATACTTTGGACTATACTACTTCGGATCTTCCGGGTCTGAATCCTTATTGTTCATCTGATAAAGTTGTTAGCTTAAGTGCGGTGTTCAGTAGATTTATACCTCTATAAATGTTGGGGTCTTCCTTATCTCCTTTCTTGAACATTGGTATTATTATGCTGGTTCTCAATGCGTCTGGTATCTTGCAGTGCATTATTAGTTTTTGTATAAATTTTGTCATCTCTAGGGTTATACTTTCTCCTTTGTGTTTTAGAAGCTCGTTGGTTATTCCATCTGGTCCTGGTGAATTTCTATTTTTGAGTGAATTTATGGCTATTTCTACTTCCTGAAAACTGATTTCTATTTCGTGTCATAATTCAGGTACGTTATTGTGTTGATTATTATTTTCCTTTGCTTTAAACAGTTCCATCAGGTATCTTTCCCATTCATTTCCTGGTATGTTATTGTATTCCTTCAATTCTGCCATTTTTTTCCCGTTGATTTCTTATGAATCTCCATATTTGTTTTTGTGTACCGTAGAAGTCGCTTTCCATCCTTTTTGTAAACTGTTTCCAGTGTTCATTTTTTCTTTTTTATTTCAGTACATTTCAGTTTTCTCATATCATGTTTTTTTTACAGTTTTCCGCGTGTCTTCTTTAACTTGGTTCTATACATGCCCACTAAAGGATTGTGGTCAAATTGAATATCAGCGCCTGGGCAGGTTTTAACATTGATGAAACTATTTCGATATCTTTTGTTAACAGGTATATAGTCTATTTAGTTTCTTATAATAACGTCTTCTCTGTTGTCTCTAGGTGATTTTCACGTATACAGGCGTCTAGGTGGTAGTTTGTAAAATGTGTTTAGCATGATTAAGTCATGTTCAGCTGTAAAGATACTCATTGTTTCTCCTCGTTGATTTCTCTCTCCTAATCCATAAGGACCAATATGTTGACCTTTTTCGTTACTATTTTAACATTAAAATCTCCCATGACTATAAGGCCACTTCTAGTCTGTCAAAATTTAAATAACTTCACAAAAAATAATTACCAAATTTACTAGACAGTTGGGACTGGGATTCGCGAACCGACTATATTTTGTTACAAATAAAAATGTTGGAGGCTTACCTTAATTTTGTGTTCTATCGCAGCGGTTTTTAGGGCATCATCGATGATTGGCCAGTATTTTACTTTGGGCGTGTATATCATCAGTGGAAAATAGTCCATAACGGCAATATAAACGAACTTTTCGGCATGTTTTATAACGTGCGTTAGAGCGTGGATGTCGTTCGTACGACCCGACGGGTTAAACGGTGGCGGGGAGCTCTGGAATGATAAATAAAGATGAAGAAAATAAAAACATATACACTGAAAAATTATTTTAATGAGAAAATAATAGCACTTTTTTTATTATTTCATATACCTATTAAGAAATGAATGAGCACAGGATTTCTATTTCGGAGAACGATTTCCGAAGTACAAAACAATTTCCGAAGTAGATAATCGTCAAAATAAACACTTTTTAAACTATCTCCCAATAAAAATAGTAAATAAATATTGGAATTAAAAAGAATTTTTTATGTTGTTTTAAATAAGAAAATGAGTGATCTTTATATTGCATTATCTTATTTTTATTGGAAGCTTCTTCCTAAAAATATACCTACAAGAAATCAAGCCAGGACTTGCCGTCCAAACCGTAAATCAAATTCAACAAAACAGTTATTTTGTTTATACTTACAGAAAAATATGTTTGAAATGTTTCGTTGTTGTAAACTAATGCTAGCGGAGTTTGGGAATTATATTGCGTAGATAGATTTGCCGGCCATTGGGGAGGTATCTTAGCATTATCAGCGCCTAAGGCCCAATAGACCTAAAAATATGAATAAAAAATATTTTACAGACAGTTATTACTACTTACAAGACCACTGATAGGGTAAACAATACTTTGTTGTGTTCCAAAATTTAGTTTTGCAAATGTTTTGGCTGTTAAGCTATTTAATTTCGAATATTTGATATGTTCGTATCAATTATTTCATACACAACTACATATACTTCATGTAAGTATACATACACTTACATATACCCTCAACTTTCTCATAACATCCAACATATATTTGATTATCAAGTTCTTCTTCTTCATGTACCATGTCCTTTCAGAAGGTTGGTTACCATCATAGCTATCTTAATTTTATTCACTGCCACACTAAATAGCATGCATGTATCAACACCATACCAATCTCGCAAGTTCTTCAACCATGAGGTTCTTCTTCGTCCTGGACTGCGTTTGCCTGCTATTTTTCCTTGCATGATATTTTGTAGCAACCTATATTTGGGACGTCTCAATACATGTCCGAAATACTCCAGCTTTCTCTGCTTGATGCTTTTTATGATCTCGGTAGTCTTGCTGAGACGTTCTAGTATTGCGGAGTTTCGCATCTTCTCCACCCAGGAAACTTATAAAATTCTTCTATAGCACAACATTTAGAAAGCCTTAAATCAATTTAGATCGATTTTATTCACAGTCCAGGACTCGACACCATAAAGTAAGACCGAGAACACATAGCAGCGAAGTAGGCGGATCCTCAATGCCAATTTTAGGTCTCTGTTACATAACACCTTGGACATCCTTCTAAAAGCAGCTCTATCCTACTCTATCGTAGATCTAATTTCGCCGTAACTTTCTGCGTTACAATTTCATTGCTGTCCAAGGTAAACTATTTTATCAACTTGCTTAAGTTTGGTATTATTTTCATATATAGATGGTATTGTATGCTGTTGTTTACTTATTACGAATATATTGGTTTTCCGTATGTTCAGATCCAGACATGCCTCCCTACAACTCTCAACGACACTATCAAGTAGTGATTGCAGATCTTCTTGACTAGAAGCTAGGAGTACTGTATCGTCCGCATATCGCAAATTATTGATGACTTCACCGTTCACAAGTATTCCTTGTGCTATTTTCAGAAAGTGCTTTTCTGAAAATTCTTTCTGCGTAAACGTTGAAAAGCGGGGGTGACAAGAGGCATCTCTGCCGTACTCCTCTTTTAATATTGAGAGCCTGTGATTCCACACCATCTACTAAAACTGATGTTGTTTGATTCCAATATAAATTTGCAATTATTCGAACATCTCTGCCGTCCAAGCCAATGTCTTTTAAAGCTTCGATGAATATAGAGTGCTTAACACGATCAAATGCCTTTTGGAAGTCAATAAAACAACAGTATGTCTACAGATATATCTCGATATCTTTGCGCAAGTACATTCATTCTAAACAGTGCCTCTCTCGTTCCAAATCAGTTACGGAAACCAAACTGAGTGTAATCCAGATATTTCTCGTATTTATTGTAGTGCTTATAATTATTTAGTAGTAATAAGTGGTGTAACAAACTGATGGTTCTATAATCAGCACAGGTTTTTGCTGTTGTCTTCTTAGGTAGAGCTATAAACAGTGAATTAGACCAACCATAAGGTAGTTGTCCGCTGGTATAAATGGTATGGAAAAACGAAGTTATAGCCTCTAAAACATTGCTATCATTTATAAGCTTGTATAGTTCAGTTGGAATTTCATCAGAACCAGTCACTCTGCCATCTTTTGATTATTGTATGGCTTTTATAACCTCAGAACGTATTATTAGGGGTCCGTCGCAGTTAGTAATATCGGAAGGTGAACTACTATCGTCTTCGAATAGGTTCGTGCCGTTTCGTATTATCACGTTAGTCGATTTTATTCCTCGTCCCTAACTCATCATTCTGGCTTTACAACCCTAGTCCTAGTCTAAGATATTCTCACCAGTCGTCTGTATCCGTCACCTTCTTCCGCCAAGCAAGTATTCCAATATTTCTCATGCCTTCATCGATGTTATCAAGGAATCTTGTTCTGGGTCTTCCACTTCTCTGAGCAATGGGTCTATCAAGAAGTGTTTTTTATCTGGATCAGTTTGTCCCATTCACATTACATGCTTTACCCACCTCAGACATCCTACATCTCTTCATAACATCTCTTCTTTTGAACAACAAACACACCCACACACATACTACACGCACGTGTAATTTTACATTAATGACAGTAAAGTTAAAAAATGTCTATAATTAATATCAATATTTATTTATTCTTACCTCAAAAATCTTTTCGACGTCGTCGGCAAGACAAGAGCAATTACGAATAACAATCCCCAATTCCTTGACCTAAAAAAAAATTAAAATCTTTTATTAAAATTCTCATCTTAACATCGGGAGTATCCTAACTGGAGTCATTCGGTAATCGATTCTCTTGATAGACTGTATGGAGTATTTCCCTTGGATTTTATGGAGTAGGTAGGTGGCAGTATATCGCGACACACACAGTTCACGGTTTTGGGGAGCTGCGATCGCGATCGTCAGAGGGAGGGGAGTGTGTAGTGTGTACCAGTAGTTTTTTGTAAGATTCAAGAAAAAGCAACATAGTTTTCGCAGGCGTTAGGTGCTAATGACAATTTTAAAGCATCGAGTGAGTGGATGGGCCGTTTTCAGGCCAGGCATGAAATTTGCGGTAAAACGAAGAGTGTTTCCATCAATCAATACGACAAGTGGTTGAATTCATAAATTTTGATAAGACAAAATTACAGTGACGATGTTTTCAATGCCGTCTAGCTGATACTTTTTTAAACTGACAATATGAATGACATATAGGTGGCAAGTTATCAAAATAAAGGGTAACTGTACTCGCGTGTGCCAATATGCCCGGTTCCGAAAAAAGGAAAGAGGTGTGAATCAGCTTCCTATCACATATATATTTAATAAAAAATCGTGGATGACAGCACATATGTAAGCGTAACTGTACAATTGTTGACAATAATTGTACAGCCAATCTGATAGTTAATGGGTTAAAAAACGTTCAACTCCTTTTTTATCCCCAAATTGCACATATGTTCTGCAACCGATGAACCAGGGCATCATAAGGTCCTTTAAAGTTCACTACAGAAAACTTTTAGTTAAGCGGATCCTGAAAACTTTAGTGAATAATCCCCTGTTACTTTATTATATGCGATAAATTTCATCCACAAAGCCTGGTCACTCGTAGAAAAGAAAGCAATCACAAAATGTTTTGGTCATGCGGGGTGGACAAAGACTGAGGAAGGAAAACGAAGAAGATGAATATCCTTTAGCAGAGTGGTTGAGATTACAATAGCAAGGTTAAGGAGAACTAACCCAACTAAACAATGGTGACGAGTATGCTGAATTCATCGCCATTCAGTGTAATTCCTCAATAAATTCGTCGGAGGAGCGTGGTATCGTCAGTGACGAGAGTGATGAAGATGAAGGAGACAATCGCGGTGAATCTACGTAAAAAGTTACTAACAAGCAGGATGTGGAAAGTGCTTTAAACATTGTAAGAAACTTTATCCAATCGCAAAATGCAAATGAAGAATCATACAACTGTTTCACATTTTTAGAAAATATGGTCGATAGAATGATACTTCAGCTAGCATTCAGATAGATGATACTTCAGAAAGCAGTCAAAAATGACGGACTTCTTCCAATTGCAGCAGCAACAGATTATGTTACCTTGAAAATACGCTTTGTACATATGTAGTTGGAAAAAAATATAGGTACACATTTTTTGTTTTAATGTATTTCATTGACAATAAAAATAAACAACTCTTTTTCAAAAGGACTATTCAAACAATATTTAGCATCTTATATTGCTCGGAATGGTTTCACTATAGGAAGTTAATGTTTTAGAAAACTACATATTCATATGTATGCATAATATTATTGTTGTCTGATATAACAAGATCGGCTTGTAACGAGGTAATTAGTCTGCCATTTCAATTCTCTTTATAGGGGGAGTCTACTGTATTTAAAATCTAAATGACTGATTCAGTTGATCAAAAAAGGAAGTGCTTAAAGACGAAATTAAAGCATTTTTCTATAATTTTGAGAAAAGTAACTTAAAAATAAATGGTTAGGTACCATTGTAGATTTAATTGAGATTAATGAAAGACAAAAACGCAGTAAAAGCATGCAAGACATACCCCGGAGCTGACATCCCCACCGACCACAATCTTCTTCTTGCAACAATTAGGATAGAATTTAAAAGAACAAAAAGAAATAAACAAATAACAGCTATTAACCTAGATAAGCTTAAAGAAGAATCCACAAGTAATAAAATACGGAAAGAAATACATAGACACTTGAGTAACAAAACAGTACAATCGACACAAACTCCCGAGGAAGAATGGCACTATATTGAGAAAACACTTACAAGAGTAACAGAAGACTACCTCAAACAAGATACACGAAAAAAGAACAAACCATGGATGACAGAAGAAATTCTAAACATGATGGACGAAAGAAGAAAATACAGAGGTAAAAATGAAACAACATACAAGCAAATACACAAGAATATCAGAATAAAGATCCAACAAGCCAAAGAAACCTGGCTAAGTGAAAGATGCCAAGAAATTGAAGAGTTGGAACAAAGACATGATACTTTCAATCTACATAAAAAAGTAAAAGAAGCCGCTGCAATATTTAAACAAACTCCTACGTCTTTCATCGAAGATAAACATGGGAACCCGCTACTGAACATAGAAGATCAAATAGGTAGATGGAGAGAATACGTGGAAGAGATGTTTCAAGACCGAGAGATGACGAACATTTACATGCAGGAGGCATCGACTGGACCTTATATCACAAAGCAAGAAATTATCAAAGCGGCAAATCAGTTAAAGAACGGAAAAGCTGTTGGGAAAGATAATATCCCAATTGAAATAATAAAATTGAATACAAAGAAGACAAAAACAATGGTCATCGGCAAGCATCAAAACAGAAGGGTGAAGGTCAATATCGACGGAACAGATCTGGAAAGAGTAACAAGAACAACGTACCTTGGAAGTAATCTTGATGAAACTTGAGACCACTCACTAGAGATAAGAATACGCCTGGAAAAGGCACGTACAATGTTTTACAAAATGCAAAAAGTTCTATGAAACCGCCAGCTGGGCATCTCATTGAGAACTAGAATACTTAAGTGCTATGTTTTCTCCACCTTACTCTATGGTGTTGAAGCTTGGACAATGACAGAAGCAACACAAAAATAATCCAAGCATTCGAACTCTGGTGTTACCGTAAAATGCTCAGAATATCCTACATGAGCCATACGACAAATGCGGAAGTCTTGCGGAGGATAAATACGGAAAGAGAGCTTATGCTTTTAATAAAAGAACGGAAAACACAATATTTTGGTCACATCATAAGAAATCAAAAGTATGAACTGCTCCAACTTATAATCGAAGGCAAAGTCAATAGCAAAAGAGGACCAGGAAGAAGACGCAACTCTTGGCTTAAAAACCTACGGCAATGGACGAACATGACCTCCATAGAACTATTCAGGGCTGCTACAAATAAGATTAAATGGGCAAATGTAATGGCCAACGTCCTTAACGATAAGGCACTGTAAGAAGAAGAATCAAAGACTCCCTTCTTTATATGAAATAAACGGATAATTCAATGAGATACAGAAATTCCGTGAAATGTTGAAGTATACAGTAGTGACTTTAAACAATATACAATATACGTCGCCCTACAATTAACTTACAGAGATTCAATGGAGCATACCCTAATTGGTCCTATTCAGAGACCTACTTACATAAGAACATTAAAACTATGTATTTAGAAAAAAGGCAGATCAAAGAAGAAATAGGTAGGATGATTCAACAAATTATAACAAGCAATAGGAAATAGCGGAAAATCACTGTTCGGCTATGAGCCAAAAACAGCCTTTATCAGCCGTTTATATTCAACTTTTCTCTCAAAGTGTTCTTTTTAGATTTGTCTTCATTATCTTATCGAATTATATGAACAGCAGATATTTTGGTCGATTTGAAATGAAACTTTCAAGGAAAATTAATCATTACACTCTTTCGGAAGTTAATGCAACAAATCAGATTCCAGGAATCGTTGGTATATCTCCGAACGACACGACTCTATTCGTTGTCTGATCAAAACTATTACGTTAGCATGTTAAAAGTCATTATTTGGATTTCTAATTGTTAATGTTACTAAGAATACAACAGAAATAGTCTAACTTTTGTTATCGGCAAACGTTTTCGTGTTGCGTGACGAACGTTTTGCCAAAAGAACATCACTTTCAAATTCAGTATTTTGCATACTTTTCGTACCTTTTGAATCTTAGGATCGATATTTTTGAAACCCACACGTCCATTACAATATTCTTTAATGATACAAAATTACCCATATTATAGAAATATCGGTCTAATAGTTGGTAGATACATAATAATATTCTTTATAAAGCTTCGATTTTAATATTCAACTGCACGATATACAAGGAAAATAATAATAACAAATTAGCTAATAAACCAGTAAGCCAAAACAATAGATGATTATTATTTTACACTTACATATACCTCGACCTCAGATAATCATCACACTATTAAGTCCTGCTCCAGGTCCTTATCTCCACATCTATTTAACAATTCCTTCCCTTTAAATCATTAGTCCAGTCCTCAAAGAATTGACCCCTAAAAATTATACGAACAAGCTGAAGTATGCAGAGAATATTTCCTTGACTACTGCTTTACGAGGTGATGCTGCGAATGTCCTAAGATAAATTCCTAAGGGTCAAGAAAAATGTTACCAGACCTTGTTTACTCGTCTAGGCAAACGTTACGGAGATGCCCATCTATAACAAGTCTACAAAGTACAAATAAGAAGTAGAATTCAACGAGCAAGTAAGAATTTGCAAGAATTTAAAGCAGATGTTGCTCGCATAGCGCGGTTAGCTTATCCAGAGGCACCAGACAATATTTTGGAAGAAATTGCTGTAGATATCTTCGTCAATGGGTTAAAATACAATGAATTACAAAAATCTTTACCACCAGCAAGATCGAAAGTTTTAGATTTTAGATGAAGCGCTCGCCATTGCCTTGGAACACGAAACAGCTAGTCAAACTTCACGGAGCTATCGTGTACGAAACTCTGAAGAGAGCGACGAACAAAACGATAAACGTTTGGGGAAAATCGTACGGAAAGTAGTTCGTAACACGATGCCGAAGAGACGCCAACCCAGATGTTGGAATAGTAACGACGTAGGTCACATTCGTCGCAAATTGCAAGAAAATAGTACAACAGTCAGAAAGCTAAAACAGATCGAACAATCAGCTTTTTCTTGTTCTGTCCAATGA